ACTAAGATATTTCCCAAATAGCTTTTTTATGCCTCCGCCACCGAAGGTGGTGCCGGAGGCATCATGTTTTCGGGTTGTCCGTCCGTACGTCCGTCCGTCCGTCCGTACGTCCGTCCGTCCGTACGTCCGTCCGTCCGTCCGTCCGTCCGTCCGTCCGTACGTCCGTCCCGTTTGACCGTTATCACAATATCTCAAGAACCATTTAAGATTTAAACTTAAGACTCGGGAATAGTATTTATCACCATAGGAAGACGATCTGATTAGATTTTGGAGTACGTAGGTCAAAGGTCACAGGTCACAGAGGTCAACTTATGAAATTCCTTGTATTGAGTTTGTTAGCGCGATATCTCAAGAACCATTTGAGATTTAAACTTCAAACTTAAGGATAGTATGTATCACCATAGGAAGACGATCTGATTAGATTTTGGAGCACGTATGTCAAAGGTCAAGGGTCACAGAGGTCAACTTATGAAATTCCATACATTGAGATTGTTATCATGATATCTCAAGAACCACTGGAGATTTAAACTTCAAACTTAGTGATAGTGTGTATCACTATAGGAAAACAATCTGATTAGATTTTGGAGCACGTAGGTCAAAGGTCAAGGGTCACAGAGGTCAACTTATGAAATTCCATACATTGAGATTGTTATCATGATATCTCAAGAACCACTGGAGATGTAAAAACTTCAAACTTAATGATAGTGTGTATCACCATAGGAAGACAATCTGATTAGATTTTGGAGCACGTAGGTCAAAGGTCAAAGGCCACAGCGCACATTATGAATGCAAAAACAGCTTGTGATCGCATTATCTCAAGAACCGATTGATGGATTCATGCCAAAATTAGGTCATGTTTGTTACTTGCAGAGCCAATGAACTGAGTAGATTCTTGGTTCATAAGGTCAAAGGTCAAAGGTCATGGGCCCATTATGTATGTAAAAATAGCTTGTGAACGCATTCTCATTAGAACTGACAGATGGATTACTATTCAACTCAGAACATCTTGCAGAGCCAATGAACTGAGTAGATTTTATGGTCATGAGGTCAAAGATCAAAGGGTCATATATGTATATGAGAAATTGCTTGTAATCACAATATTCTGAGAACCTGTCAATGGATTACCATTGACTTGAATTCAATTTTTTTTTTCTGTTTTGGTTTGTAAAATTGCTCTATAACGGAGGCATCATTTTCGACTGCGCGCAGTCGAATTCCATCTAGTTTAAAGCTGAATTAATTCACATATCTCCAGAGGTTTATTTGTATTGTCCAGACTCCAGACCCTCATATTGTTCAGGTGGCTGTCCTACTCCTAGATGTAGGTAGTTATCATGAAAGAATAAGCATAACAACACTAGAATAAACATCGCTGATACACTTCACAATTTGTTTGTTGTGTACCTGAGGCCAGATGATTGGATTAATTCATGAACCACTCCAGCAGTTGATTGTTTCACCCCCGCAATCAATCGTCACTGTCCTATATAACTTATGTTATACCTATATTCAGCTTCTTTTTTTTTTTTTACAAAGATAAACAAGTAAGCACTGTTTATTATTCGCCTACAAGTTATCTGTCTTCTGCTCTAATGCCTATGTTATCTCCCTCTCTTTAATTCATGTAATTTGCTTACGGCATTCCCCGACTCGGCAGTCATGCATACTTCATGAGAGCCAGACAGGGATACCTTCCTTAATCACGGACAGTGAGGCTGTTTTTCACTCCTCTTCCGGTAGGCCATCCAGGCGCTAATACTCCACGCACTTTTTCAGCCCCGTTTCTTTTTCTATCTCCTTTGAAAAATCAACCTTGTTGATGTTTATGCCACACGCCATCAACTGTAAATTTGCATCAGAGGGGCATCTGTGTTTTCGTTCGGAGATCAAGACGTGGGGAAGATGGTATTCTGTTAGTGTTATCCCTGCATCTTTATAAGGTCTCATGCACTATGAGAGGAAGGACTTGTTTTATGCATTGATGGATGGGCGGTGTGGCCATGCATAATCACAGATTCAATTGGAATGGAAATGGTTTTGTGGGGTGTATTTCCATTTCCACTGAGACCATTTGACTTTGTTATGGATGTGTTCCCAAATGATTTTGCCTTGGTAGAAAGAATCCAATTGTTTTTTCTATAAGTGACTGTTTTTGGAATTCTTCTAACCTATCCAAGGCTCTTGTGTTTTGTTTTTTTCTTCATATAGCATTGACATACACAATACAGGAGCTTTTGAATGACTTCTTTTTTGTTCTCTTTAATAATATGTAATCATTTGTATTACATATTTCTTTGTAAAATTGTTGTAGCTGTCTCAAGACCCTTTCTGTTTCCTGTCGCTCTTATCTTCTTCCTCTTCTTCTTCTTCTTCTTCTTCTTCCTCTTCTTCTTCTTCTTCTACTTCTTCTTCTACTTCTTCTTCTACTTCTTCTTCTACTTCTTCTTCTTCTTCTTCTTCTTCTTCTTCTACTTCTTCTTCTTCTTCTTCTTCTTCTTCTTCTTCTTCTTCTTCTTCTACTTCTTCTTCTTCTACTTCTTCTTCTTCTTCTTCTTCTTCTTCTTCTTCTTCTTCTTCTTCTTCTACTTCTTCTTCTTCTTCTTCTTCTTCTTCTTCTTCTTCTTCTACTTCTTCTTCTTCTTCTTCTTCTTCTTCTTCTTCTTCTTCTTCTTCTTCTTCTTTTCTCTTTCTCTCTCTCTTTCTCTCTTTCTCTCTCTCCCCTCTTTCTCTCTCTCTCTCTCTCTTTCTCTCTTTCTCTCTCTCCCCTCTTTCTCCCCCCTCTTTCCCTCTCCCCTCTCTCCCCCTCTACCCTCTCTCCCCCTCTCCCCTCTCTCCCCCTCTCCCCTCTCTCCCTCTCACCCCCTCTCCCCTCTCTCCCCCTCTCCCCTCTCTCCCCATCTCCCCTCTCTCTTTCTCTCGCTTTCTCTCTCTACCCTCCCTCTCCCCCTCCTCTCATTTTCTTATTCTCTCATTCTCTTATTCTCTCATTCTCTTATTCTCTCATTCAGCTTTCTCTTGCTCTCTCTATTTCAATCCCTCTTTCATGTCATATGCACATCTTTGATAAATGTCCCTATCATTGCCTCTCTATCTTCCTACTTCTCTCCCTTTTTCTACCCTGTTTTAGCTCCCCCTCATGCATTATAAAAAGAGGCACGCATGTGACTGCCTATTCCACTGTAGTGTAGGCGTTGACAAACCAACATTCATTGAAGTGATGTGTGAAATGACTTCTGACTGCATCTCTAAATCCATACCACTTCCGGAGAGTACATTCAGATGAAAGACAACATCACACCTCTTCTCTATGCATACCTTCACCTTCCTCTCCCCATCATCCTTACAGCATCTTACACTGATGCCTATCGAGGGGGGGGGGTTTGCAGATGGGGGCTCCTGAAAAAAAGTCCCTTAAATCAAAAAGTGGTCTTCAAATTCATAAGTGATGACAAAAAAGTTAATAATGTACAAACTTACAAAAAACAATCATGGATTCACTATTCCCCCTCCCCCAATATGATATGGAGAAAGTGTTAACCCCCCCCCCCCCCCCACCCCCACCCCCATATCTCCATGTAGCTACGCCCCTAGCTGTGCCCTTACTCGTTATCCAATTCTCGTACATCTGCTATCTCGTTCACCCAATCTTACGTATGAAGGATGTGCTTTCTTGTGAGAGGCAGATACTATCTCACATGTAAAGATCATCATCTTCTGACATTCTAGGAAGGGTTTCTCGATTTGTTGATGTTCTTGGTATTCTGTAGTAGATTGACAGCATTTTAATGTGGCACATGAATTTTCTACTACAAAGTTATTTTTGTTGGGAGAAGGTCTGTGGTCCATGACAGCTTTATGTATTTAAAGCTTAAATTATTTTTCTTGGTGAAATAAGAAAAATTGAATGGTTACATCAATGTTGAGTATAGTTTCACTTACTAAACCTTGATTCTGAAAATTGAGTGATTAATGTCTAGTGTGAATTGTGAAAGATGCAAATTTAAAGGTCTTTTTTATGTGGCAAATGCAGCTGAAATTGGCATCCTGAAACTTGCTATGATCATCTTCAATTTCATTATGGTTGCCACCCCATTTGCCATTTCTACCTGAGTCACTTGTGATTGATTTTGTGCCATTTCATCTGATCATGAAAAAGTAACCTTTGCCCATCAACAGCTGGCAGATTATCATTATTATCTGAACAAGCTTATGTCACAAAAATATGATATAGAGTTAATTTTTAATATTTAGGTCCATTTGTAGTTGAGTCCACTTTTCTGCCCTTGACAATACATTGAATTGCCTGCCCAGAGCCATTTTTCTTGGAATAATTATTCATCCTTGAAATGCACTTTGAAATGGCAATGGAGACTAGTATAACGTGCTGTCATTGATGGTAGCAAATTTGTTTCCCCCTCCCCATTATTGCTCTTGAAATATGCAATCAGACTATTGTTTAAGTCAACTGTTTTATACTTTCACCTTTTGAATGAGGTTTAAATACATGCATTTTGGGTAGACCCCAGCCCAAGATATATTGGCCACTTTTTGGGAGTGAAGCCTGACGAGAATTTGTGTCTTTCTCTCGGCCTGACTCGAGGCCAATTGGGTATAATACGACTTTGGACTGCAGCATTCATGTGCGTGCAACATACGCGAAACCGAAGCGTGAGGAGAACGATGACCATGTAGAGATTAAGTCGCTGACTACCGTTAATCAAGTCCATTTGTTTATGTGCAGATGTCCAAAAGAAGACGTAGATGGCGTTAACCAGTACTTGCCAAGCTACAATCCCTTTGATAATTGCTTGACAGTGTCAATGGGTCAATGGTGTAGAACTGTACGAATATTTATCAGAAAGATATTTATCTGAAATGTGCCAGATTTACTGTGTTAACTTTTTAATCTTACAGGGTTTTATACTAATGATACTTATAATCAGTATAGTACTACAGTAAACTAAAGATGCATTCTTTGTCTCATCTTCTCTCACCTACAGATTAATATACTCAGGTAGTCCTAAAGGAACTCTCTCACTCACCCGATCGACTGGTGAGCTCACGTTCGGCACCAGGACGGGGACACGCAGCGGCATCGAAGCCCATCTCTTCAGGGTCGAGACAAGGAGAGACCTAGCAGCATGGACCAGGCAGCTGGTACAAGGCTCACATAACACCGCCCTCATTGTCAAAGAAGTCACATGTCGTAAGTATCCACCTATTAGTTAGATCAAGTCAAGGGCTACATACTCTGTATCGGCCTGTGCTCCATTTTAGAGATATACAGGATAATACTTGGGTGTAAAGTAGCTAAAAGTGCAGTATTTAAAGCCTGTCTGCACTAATTTGGCCAGAGGGGATTAGACCTCCCTGCAAAGTCACTGACAGGTGGTTATCTTATCAAATCAGCTCTCAATTAAAAAAGGGGATCATGGGGGACCAACAGGCACCAATTAGGCATTGTTTGCTATATAGAGGGTGCAGGTAGCTACAAGTAGTGCAGTGGGGCTTTAAAAGTACTGTGAATTGATTACACTTCCTCTTCAATTGCCTTCAGGCGTACATGTCATTCTTTTAAAAGGCATTTCAGGAATTATAACACTGAAGTTCAGAGGCATCGGTGGAAAAAGAATATGTTATTTTACTACTTGGATGGCTCGGTAGTGGAGCAAATGTCTCATAACAGAAAGGTCCTGAGTTTACGCCAAGTTGATACACCATTATAAAGGCTCTAATCAACTGGTCCCTTGGATAGGCTCGAAAGCTGTAGGTCTTCTGGTTGCTATATCTTTAAGCATACACCTGATTTCTAAACATTTAGTTCAAAATAAGTTGCTGAAGATGGCAAGTAGCCTCTAGAATTTATTTCAGAGTCACGTTGCCTTTGGATGGATTTCATTTTAGGTAACAAGTGTATCAACAACAACAACAATAGATTCTTAGAAGAAGAAGAAAAAAACCTATGCCCTCAAGATGTTCATGGCAAAAATCTGTCCCTCGGATAGGACGTTAAATGGAGGCCCCGTTAAATGGAGAGTCACCACCTTTGCACGTCCACTGCACTATTCGTATAAGAGTAGGGGGAAACCCGTTGTAGTGGTCCACCTGGACACCCCCAATCAGTTATACCGGGAGGAGAGACCCGAGGGTTACAGTGATTCAGTTTGCTTTTCGCCTCCCAGGCACAGCTAGGTAACGCCAAATTAATAATAATAACAAGTTGTTGAATTGTTTTCTTTGTCATAATATAGCTGCAGCATGGAATGGAAGGGAAACCAGGTTACGCATCCACTTTGAGAACGGTTTCACTCTGAGTGTCCCTACAGCCGACGGTCAGGTTGACCACACCAATCAACTCAATATGCTCTGGTCTTACCCGTTTGAGAAGCTCAGGTACTCTTCAGACGACTCCAAGAGGTTGCTCTGGCTGGACTTCGGAGCAGGAGAAGGAGAATTTGTAAGTACACAGCCAGCCACACAATAATAAAAGAGAAAGTAGAACACTATTAATGTGGTTTTACAGAAGAATGATGAAAATATTCCTGAAACAAATGAAAACCAACAAAGAGATATTGCACATGGCAGGGTGTAAACAGACTGCACTGGTAGAACTAGTTAAGGAGAGAAAAGTCAAATACTTTGGTCATGTTAAAAGGCACCGAAGCCTTTAAAAGATATGTTGGAAGGAAGAGTAGAAGGGACTAGACTGAGAGGGAAACCCAGAGTCAACTGGGAAGAGAATGTCAAGAACTGGAGTAGACTAAGACTGCAAGAGTGCACCAGAATAGCAGAAGATAGAGTGAAATGAAGAAATGTTGCAATCAACCTCTGAACCGGGAGAAGATACTTAGATAGATAGATAGAACACTACTAAGGTATTATATATAAATATTTTTAAAAGTGGTCACCTCTTTGTGAAGGTTAAGTTCCTAGAAGTGCCGGAATCCATATGGATGTGTATTCATACATTTTGATTTCCTTATAAGGTCCTTCTTTCTGCTTAGGTTACTTTGGAGGTTTTAATCAGAGATGGCCCATATAAACGGGGATGATTTCGGCCAATGTACCTTCTGCAAGACTGTTTATTTCTGGTTGGGCTTAAAATGTACATTTTTGTCTTATTTCAGAAGTAGCTAGGGTGTAGACCTTTGTTTTCCTTTTCATTTTGATGTAAATTTCTTCTATCAAGTGAGTAAGAAATTAGTAAAAATGAGTGATGTGCACACTATTTCACTCTTGATGTAGACTGTTTTCCTTGAAAAGTCAAGCTTCACGTTCTTCACTTACCTGTTTAATACCGACCATTAACAAGACTGATGTTCCTTTCAAATCTTGATACAGCTGGTCAAACCCGGTCAAAACTGGTTTAGCAACCACCTGTCTACAAAGACAACATTTTTGTTTCCCTTAAAAATGGTTTCTCATTGAAACATGTACTAAGGAACCTGTACATAAAGACCACCTGTCTGTAAAGATCACTTTTCTTGTCTCCCTTGTTGTGGTCTTTACAGACAGGTTTCATTGTATAATATGATCAAAGTTTAAACTTCTAATTCAAATGAGAGGGAAAGTCAATGATGAGAGAGAAAATATTTGACCTTTACTCATATGGCATGAAGATCTTAGCAATAGGCCGCACAAATAAAGACATTCATCTCAAGTGCTTTAGTACCAGGAGGCTTCATGATAGACATACAGATATAGCCCCAATAAGCCTGTCTTCATCAGCTCAAGTTTGCCACATGTTCCGCTATTTTCAGACTTAGGATATTATCCCAAAGTTCAAAATTGCATCTTCACCAGACTGATATGTTCATCATAAACTAGCTCGGACACGTGCAAAGTATCCCGCTATTTGGGAAATAGCAGGATATTTTGGAAACAAGACCAAGATTTCTCTGGATATTTTCTCGACCGAATTTCCCGCTAATTGCAACTGCGGGCTGATGAAGATGCAAATCAACTGGCTAATTTGCGATCGGGGTAGTTAAAATAGCGGGCTATTTGGAAACTCAAGCTGATGAGGACAGGCCATATTTTACTATCCTTTCATGTTTTGTATCAGGTAATGGTTCTTTGCCATGGGACATTAGAGATATGTAATAGCTTTTATTATCATGCTTCAGGTTTTCAAAGATCTCATAATGCATCTGACTCATCTCAAATGATTGCCATTGGGCATGTATGACAAATACATTTATTGTTGCCACAAAGGGATAATTATACCTATTTTTGTCCTGTTCTCTGCAAGTAGTATAGTATGTATGTAGAATTGGGACTTGGATAAATAGAAAACTATGGCCACCGGCATTAAACAATACAAAACCCACATCTAACAAATTGGAATGACAAATGGATCAAGTATTCCTTGTTGTTCTAAAGGATGCCCCTAAATCAATCATCATTATTCATTTGTGCTCCAAGCAAGCATTTAATGTCGATATTGTTGCCTGCTAGTTGTTTAATAAAAGTAAGATCTGTTCACAGTATCTCTAAAGCATCTTATTTTTCATTTGATACTAATTAAAATATTTCCTGAAGCTGTTTTGCATGGAGATAGCATTATGAACTCATAACCAAAGGCTTTTCAGAGATCAGGGCCCTATTTCATAAAACTTAGTGTTTAATATCAAGAACAAGTTACAATAACTGTTACATTGGCTGAGAGCAAATTTTTCATAGAAATTTATCATTTGTTATTGATAACAAGCTTTGTGAAACAGGGCCCTGGGAAGAGTATATCAATTTCAATTTTAATTCTTACAATTAATAATAAATAATTCATATTATGGTTCACATCATATATGAGCCATTTTACTCCAAAAATAAACATGAGCTTGTCTCAGCCAAATGTAAGACATGTGTTAGAATTGGAACAGGTAAAACAACCTACCGGTTATGATGTTGAAAAAGATCAAATAATGAAACTTTTAATGTTAATAAAACTGTTGAATAAAGCAAATGAACATCTGTTGAGAAAACTTGCATATCAATTGCCTTTCTTTTAAGAAATGACATGCTTTCAGAATATTGAATTTAAATAATGTGATTTCATTTCTCTTCTTTTAACTTCAGGAGTTGGATCTCCACGGTTGTCCCAAGCCTATTGTCTTCATCATCCATACCTTTCTCAGCGCAAAGGTCACGAGGATGGGTCTCTTTGCCTGATAGCGACTCCACCCTGACTGACCTTTGCAGTTGGTTGCCATGGTAACGAAATGGAGCAGCGCAACTTAGCCCAGTCACAGTCCTACAGACCAGCCAACAAAACTGTCACAGTGTGCATGGCCTGCTGGACCTGGTAATGTAGAAGACCTGGACCTAATAGCACCGAAGACCTGGACCTGATGGCATAGAAGACCTGCACCAGATAGATTAGAAGAACGGGGAAAGCTCAGGCAAGGTTCACAGGAGTATCGCTGTGCTGGAGTATAACAGAGCAGGGCTGCTACAGCTGATTGCTACATAGACAAACATGAGCATGATGTGGCCAGCAGAGGAGATGAGACCACAGAAAAGGAGATGAAGTCTTGGCGAAATATAAAATTGTGTGATGGTTCAGCCCTAGAAGTGGCATTCAATATTTTGCTCATCTCTAGTCCTTCTCTTTTGGCAGACTAAAGAAGACTTGTAATTTTGAAGAAATTTTCCATTATGCTATACAGGGATAGATACCAGAACAAGGACCCTATCCTAGATTATATCTATCATTTTCATGGATTTTTTTGATTTTTTTTTGATTTTTTTTAAAGATGAAAACCTTGATTCCTGTTCCATCCAGCAGTTTAGTAATCAGTACAACTCAGAAGCTAAACAGTATGTCTGATGTCGAGACTGGTACACAGGTTTGCCAAAGATCTTGTAGTCTTTGCAATAAGAAAGAATCTTGACATTTAATATGACTTGACAACTCACTATAGGATTAAGTGAAACATTGCTTGTTGGACTCGGTACAGATAATGGCCTTCTAGTAGTCGTTGCTGGGGATATATGGGAGGTGATTTATGTATGATACCAACTCAATTTTGCTTCTGAGGAAGACGTAAGGATATGTCGAAAATTTGTGTTGTGAATTGAAGTAATTATTGGCTAAAGTGCATTATGTATCTGACTGAGCCTTGAATTAATATAACTATCTCCTCAAGCCAGTACATGAAATCTGAAGAATGTTAGGAGTGTTTTTTGATAGAAGTGTATAGGTGTCATGGTCGAGTGGATATGTCACCGGACTGTGGATCACAAGGTCTGCGGTTCGAGTCCCGCCGCGGCACTAATGTCCTTTGGCAAGACATTAATCTACATTTGCCACACTCGACCTAGGTGAGGTAAATGGGTGCCTGGTAGGATTATTCCTTGAATTGCACTGCATGCTAATAATGGGAGCCGGAGCTAAAGCAAGGGTAATAATTTCCAAAGGTCTTTGAAAGCACATATGGATGTTAGAACTGAATATTATTATACAAAGGGCTTTAAAGGCAACGCATGACTTGAAGTTTTTGGATAGAATTGAAGAAAACCTTTCCTGCGGGAGTCAGCTACACTTGAGTGATACCCGAGGCAGGAGTGTTACCCTTATCATGTAGTCTTAGTACTTCTGGCTACAGAACTCATAGTGAAAGTGAATTCAAACCTCAATATTGGACTTAGCTGGGATTGATAGCTTCTGCATTTACTTATGGGTATCCATTCATCAGTATGTCCTTGCAAACAAAATCATAGTGGAAAGACATTATCACATCTTTTTAATTTATTTGTGAAAGACACACCTTTATTGTGCTCAATCATAGCATGATTTGTTATTATTAGTAGTAAGTAGATTCTATTTTACTTGGAGATTTTATTTTGATTGATTTATCCCACTCATCTGTGTAGATTTATATGTTGGATTAATTTATGTGTGGATACACCAAACGTGCACGAATGTAGCAGATTGATATATTTTTTTTAATGTCTTTAATTAGTTTATTGAGTTTTTGTGTTCATTAACATTCTTATTGCAAGTTTTTTTCTTTCTTGTTATACTTTTGAAGACTATCAGATAGTAAGTGGGTGGGATATATTTGAGCATGTACTCTTTTGAAGAAAATTTAAACTTTCGACAATTCTTGTCCAAAAGGAAAATGTAGTCATGAAATATTTGTGTTAAATATGCACAACTTTATTGTTGTTCTTGTAGCTAACCAGTTATGTGTATTCACTGACCAAGCTTGCTATCACCTTATGCATTACTCGTGCAGGAACACTCAGAGATTTTTGTTATGCAAATATAGTAATTTAAACCTTTCACAAATCATTATTCAGTTTGATATCATTTTCACGATACGTCGTAAAAATCTCCTGTTAAGAAAGCTGCAACCTTCATCAGTAATAAATATTTCTGTGACATCTCGTAGTACTAGAATATACTGTTATCAGTTATCATTAACAACTAAATAAAATGTGTTTAAACTCTGGCCATTCATTGGTGGATGCTCTATGTTCAGACATATTACAGTTCACTCTCCACCCCCACCCCTACCCCCCTCCCTTTCCCTTCCTTGTTATCAAATATAGTTGATGAGAAAATTGAACATGCTAGTCCTTACTTCTCAACCTTGCATCAGAGTTCCGTTCTTCAAATTGTAATCTTCATTGCTTTTCTCTTTATAATACATTGTGTCAAAATGAAGCTATAAATTTATATTTTGAACTCAAGTCTTGTATTCTATACATATGTATTCAGGCATGTAGAGCCGGAAAGTAAATTATTATAGAGGAATTCTATAGTGTGTGACCAAAATTGATTGTTTGTACTACTTATATACCATTACAGGTTTGCAGTGTCCATGAACTTGATCATATTTATGTGTTTCATGTTTACTAATGTCCTTGTCAGCAAGTTAATCCACTAGATTTTTTTTGTTCCAGTTTTAGATCCGTTTGTTGGCCTATTCATAGGAAATTTCATAGGAATTGTAGAATCAGACTCAGTAATTGACCATGAATCATTTTTCTTCTTCTGATTTTATCAAAATGCAACGGAATGTATCTACCTACATGTATTCTGAGGTTAGTCTAGAAAAGATTTGTGTGCGTGTCATGTTGTCCGGTCGATCACGCCATATAGTGTATGTCATGACACTAACACTAACACTGAAACTTCACTGGTGCTATTTTTAAGGAGTTTATGTTAGATTTGTCATCATTGTACATAAATACTAACCATATTTGTTTTTTTTACAAAGAGTGCACATGTTATTTATCACCAGTGTAACTTGAAATTCAAACTCATTCATATGCTTGATAGCTTGCTCTATTTGTCTTGTATTCAGACATAAGGTTTGGTTCCTCCGTTTCCGTCACATTTCTGTTTTCAATTTCTTTCGGAAGAATGATTAAATGTCTGTAAGTGAGGTATGTCAAAGTTAATGATGGCATTTGAAACTTTATCTTGATTGTACCTTTTTGTTTTATCCTCTCTGTGAAACTTCTATCATACTGTTTCTGTATTTCTGTCTCCAATTCTTTTTCTAGTACTATTTGTTTTCTCATAATTTCACTTTTAAGGAGCTATTGATTCCTTGACATAGGTCTATAAGGTTTATTGAATATCAAACAGGAACCAAATATATTCATTTAATACTCAGATGGTGTATTATTTATTTATATATAATTTGCAGTGTTGTCATCATTGATCTTCTACACAAAGCTGGCTTTTCATGTCTTAGATATATATTTATGTGACTAATTGCTGCCATTTAAGTAATTTCTCTTGTGAATATGCAGATTTTTTTCAAATCTGTCGGTCCGAATTCACACTATACTTACAAAACAGATTAAAGATTAATTTATGTATTTATGTGTGCTTTCGTGTCAAATGTTCTTTTCTTTAGTGTCCACTTTTTATTTACCCTGGTATATGATAACATTTTCATCTAAAAGTATCCATGAATTCATGAATGGATTACCAGCTTTGATCCAAGGTACTAACAATGTATTGTTTACCAGTATTCAAAATTGTTCAGATTTAATCATTATTAGATGAACATTAATGATATTGGAACATGGAATAATGTGTTCATCTACTTACAGTAATCTTTTCTAAAAATTCAAATACAGTTACAATGATTATTTGCCACAAGGAAATTGTATTATACAGGTTTCATTGTTTGAAATTTTCGCTGCTTTCTACTTATAATACAATTTAATTCTAATTTGGTATATTTTGTTTAAATTCTTTATTCACTTGAAGAAAAACAAATATATGAAAGCATGAAACGAATATATATAAATTGCTATTGATTGAGACTGAAATGAACATGCCAATATTTTTGTTTCATAGCAACTTCAACAGATTATGAATGAAACAAATTACAGTACAATATGAGCATGTTCTTAAAGAAGCTTCATTGAATATAAAACTTTTCACTTTCAGAATATCACATTAAAAAATCACTCGAGAAATGCAAAAGTATGCTGCATATTGCATGATAAACATATCTAGGCCTGTATTCAATAAACTGTATTTGACCTTGAAATGTAAGCAAGATTTCTTTAAATTACTTCTTAAATTAGTCCCTTTAAAAGAGACTTGGAGATTTCTGCTTAAATGCATTAGTTAGGTAGTTTATGAAATATAGACCCATGAGTTGAAAGCCTTTGATTTAAGCATAGTCCCCTTTTATGTAGTGAGTTAATGACATGTTGAAAAAAATTGTAAATACACAGATGCATGTGTGCTTAGTATTTTTGTAAGAAAAGAAGAAAGTTTTAAAGTTTGTCTATTACAAATGTTGTTGATTTATTTTGAAAAGTCAGTGTTTTAGCATTTGGATCTTGTCTTAATATGTGTTGATGTGAATCTTTTGTGCTATTTTGTCCAATATAAGTTTGATCATGCATTTCACTTGCAATTTAATTGGAAGAAGAACTCATTTACATTTGTAAACAGAAGGAAAATAATGAAGACTTGTATCTTTTGTCATCACCAGAAGTTATGGCTTCACTTTAATTTTTTTTTATGTAATTTAATTTCCTGCCACAATCCTGCATTTTTGCAAATTAATGAGTGATCTATAGAACTGCCTATGAGCTTATGTACACCATTTTGGGTACACACTTTGGAAAATTACTATTTCTTTAATAGCACATAAACTTAATATTGAACCAATTTTACTGGTGTGAGATATTTGTCCAGCTTGACTTGTGTCAGTTGTTTTTTTTACCATAATAATAAGAGTAGTTTTATGGCAGTCGGATTGCAAGCAATTTGGTCTTTTAACCACGACTCTAATGATGCAGAATTACTATGCAGTGTGCTCTGTAAATACTGCAGATTTTGATACCAAAACTTATACTCGTCATTAACATATAGTACCATATATAATGCTTGTCATATCATATAACCCATAAACGGCTATTAATAGAGTCTAATGAAGTTTCATTTTACATTTAATATGCACTCGGCAAAATAGAAAGAAAGTGGACACTCTTTATCTTTCCAAATCCAAGTCAATAAGATATAATAGCTTGGACATGCACATTAAGATAGATTCCTCATTGCAATATATTGTACTAAAATGTGTTGTATTCTGACTTTTTGAATCAGGATATGTATTGTTATATTTTGTTTTGAATGTTCGTTCACTTTAACTAACCTTATGTACTGTTCCTCAAGACTTTTTAGTCTGTAAATGTAGGCATTCTTTGTGTTGAATCTATTGTTGTTAGATTTCTTGGACAGATTATTATTATTATTATTATTATTATTATTATTATTATTATTATTATTATTATTATTATTATTATTATTATTATTATTATTATTATTATTATTATATGTGTTCGGTATTGTATGATTGAAGATGAAATATATGCATGACTTGTAATGAGACATGAAATAAATCTTATACTTGTAAATAACAACAAACCTCTTGTGCTTCTTCATAGTTCTCTTTTCTTTTTTCCGGATGTTAGACTTTCGGCTTTGTAATTGGGGATGACTGATATGGGGGAAAATTCAACATGTAGTTGGTCAATTTATGAGGAAAATATACCCCAAACCCCTATCGCCTCAGCTATACAGGCCAGCCGATCGGGTCGACATGTTATGTCGTCATTTTAACTGCGGCAAATTTGACCCCTGTTGACCAATAATTTTGAGGGGTGTGGAAAACAAGGTTTTAATATGCTTTTGTGCAATACTAAAAGGGAAAATATATTTTATTCCATATTCTATTCTATGTTTATTCAGTTTTCCATTGATATAAAGTTGCATTTTCAGCGGATAGGGTCTTTAAGAGGAGGATATAAAAAGAAATAATCTAGTGAATATATATTATTGAATTAAAAAAAATCATGCAATTAAATTGAACAGAGGAGGATATAAAAAGAAATAATCTAGTGAATATATATTATTGAATTTAAAAAAATCATGCAATTAAATTGAACAGAGGAGGATATAAAAAGAAATAATCTAGTGAATATATATTATTGAATTTAAAAAAATCATGCAATTAAATTGAACAGAAACAGCATGAAAAATGTGAGTAAAATGAAAAATCAGGATCCAGAAGAGATATCAGTTTCTGATTGTTTATTTATTTATTCATTCTATCATCATCACTCATATTTACCATATATTCTGATAGGTAATAACATTGGACATATAGAATGCCCTCTTATGAGCCATACACCTAGATGAACCCTAATATAAGCGATCTAAACTTTGTTACATGTTAAACTGACGCAATTCCCTTCTGTTTTAGTGTTATTCTTGTACAATACAATGAATTTAATATTATTCTTACTAAAAAAAAATTAACATTTTTTTTTTTTTTTTTTTACAAAATTCATAAACATGTCAACTTATTTCATGACGATGTCAAAAGATATACAAACATGTATAGCACACACCAAAATAGTTGCATTATTGTGTTGCAATAAAATAACATTTAAGTAAATGATCATGCAGGACCATATAGAGGCTAGAAGGGGGGTTAAAAATATGTGGGCAAACGTCACCCTAAATATTCCATTTCAATTCGTCTCTTATTTATTCGCCATAAAACGGAACATCTAAAAGATACAAAAATATATGCATAATTATACGAGAAATAAAGTTAATTCAATCTTTCACGAGTCCATTTATCTGAATTTCATCTTTTCCTCTAAAGTAGTTTGCTATCAATGTCGGATTTCCCTTGAATGAAAGTGATAAAACTTTTTATTTAAAGTGTATTTTATGAGTGCATTGATAATATAGCATTCGTGTTTTGTTTTATTTACATATTTAGTTGTGTGTGTAACACCCTTAGCCTACTATAGACGAGATCCCAGTCGAGATACGCTGTAGTGAGATGTCTTTCAGAGCCCTTCTTCATCTCAAATCCTTTACGCCCGTGTAATACACGGAAGTTATTGATCACAATGACGTCACCTGTTAGAAAGACAAATGAAAAAGGGAAAAAATTACGGGTTACTACTCTAAGGTGCTTATTTCAATGTTATAAGCTAGTACTCTAAAATAACACATGGAAGAAAGGAAGACAATGAGATGGGTATTTTTTATTTTGGTTCTGAAAAAAGGCAAAATCAATGATACAGTGTGATTTTAACTAGTGTAGTGTGGGGTTAATGGATGATTCAGAAGTTAATGTATTTTTTTTCATAACTTATAATAGTAACACTTTGTCACATTTTACCCATACATGATGAGGACATGATCAGTTAATTTAATGCACCCCTTTTTTTTTTTGTGTGTGTGTGTGTGTGTGTGTGTTTGATTATTACTACTATAATTTTTTGTTTGTTTTTATTTTGTTGGTTGAAACATTTTTTGCATTAAAGTTTCAGCATGAATTAGAAAAGTCTCTTTTTAATGTCCCCTCATCGCCGGAAAAATTCTCCTGGATGCACATCGGGGCTTATTATTAAAGATCACTAAGAAGATGATTTTCTAATCAGGGGGGTGTTTCACAAAGATCCTAAGTTGAACTTATCTCTAAATTGGACTTAACCATTATGGAAAGCCGTAAGCATGTTTGAAAATATTTTGTAAAAGTTATTTTAAAAGGTATAAAATGTTGATTCAAATCATTTATATTTTCTGTTATCAAGGAGATTCCATGTTCTTGATGTGGAATTTATGAAAAGTCTAAAATATAATTTTTGCTTTTGCATATATTTTATCTGAAGGCTACAAATGGCTCTCCATAATGTTTAAGTCCAACTTAGAGTTAAGTTCGACTTAGGATCTTTGTAAAACACCCCCCTGATCCTTTATAATTACCAGCCTCCATCTTGTAGGTGTACAAATTCTTTTGATCGTAGAGGAGATCGGTGAAGAGTTTCATCGCCTTGTAGAAGAGAGCTACTCTCTCAGGAGGCATGCGCAGTACAGACGTTCTAGAATGATTGCTGTATGATATCTGTGTCGGCTCGCCATTCACATCTAAACTGGATTCGGAAGAAGATTTAAAAAAAGCGAATCAACGCATCATTCCGTAATTTTTTATGAAGCCCCGCCCCCCCCCCCCCCCAAAAAAAAATGCAGTCCATTTCTCTGTTATTTTGGACACAATTAGATTAGAGCACTCAACTTCTAGGAAAAAAAATACCCATCAAAATAAGTTCTCGACAAAGGCTTATTTCTTGATATCAAGAGACCTAAAGCACCACCACCCCCTCCCCCCCCCCCAAAAAAAATGAATCAATCAAAATCAATAGCCTGAAAGAAAATGTCGGTGAATAAGCGGGGGGGGGGGGGGTAAGAGCCCTTTTTTTTGGGGGGGTACTGCTTTTGAGGAAAAATTAAACGCCGACTCAGGCGGCTTGTGAATATATTACGCAGGGGGGTGGGGGGTGATGGAAAGGAGAACCACTAATTTTGTTTTGTGTGGGCCCGTTTTTTAAAGTTTTTTTCAAGAAGGTTAAATTTACTTTTATTATCCTATTTTTTTTAACAGTTTTTTTTTTTTTTTGGGGGGGGGGGGCAGGCCGGAAAAATCGCAACGTGGATCTGCGCCTGATAAGTCAAATGATTCCAGAAACCTTTTAAAAATCTGCACAGTTTGTATATCTGCGCGCGCGCGATGATAACGTAACAATATTTTTCAAGCGCAGACAAGATATACGCTAAGGCATTGTTTCGTAATAGACACGTGATCGAAACCTTTGTCGCTGATTGGTTGGAAGTTTGGCTGCGTCGCCTTTTCCCCCTTGGAAACCGCGCTTTTTATGAAGGTGATAACCACAACAAAAAGTACACTTTCTGATTTTCATGCACTGGAGAAACACGTAGTGAATCTTCCTCCGAGTTTCTGAAAGAGAATTTGACGCAATTTTTGCTGAAAATAATATTCTGTTGCTACATACCAACTATAATCTGCTTAAATTTTAAGGTGAGCATAAAAATATTCAAAAAGTACCCATTAAACCCTTGTCCCGACATCGTTATGTAAGAAGTATCATACCGGGCCAACACGCGTGTCTGGATAGGTGGTGTATCCGGACAGATAATTTCAAACAGTTGTTTGAATCTTTTAACAAGTTTGTTTTAATGTTCCATGAATCTTTGAAAAGGTTTATTGACAAACAATTCTAAATGAAAAATACCACCGATAGTCAATGCTTTCTGATGTATATTTTCCTAAAATCCAACGTCAAAAGAAATGGCTCTATTTATGGTGTCTGGACACACAACCTATCATCCTACACCCACATTGGGACCCACATGCATACCACATATATTATGGCAATCTTGCATTAAACTCCTAACAAAAAAATATAACAAAATATATATAGGCTTATATTTAAACAAAATAATTGGGTAAATAGAAATTTGATAGTTTTTGAGTAGGGTTATGAAGGGAAAACTCATTTGGTTGATTGATCATAGCCCCAAAAAATCTGTAATTTCAATCTTAAAACATATTGGATAAGCAGGCCTAATTAAAGGGGCCTTGTGGAAAGCAATTTAGTAACTGATAAATGCTACAATCTTTAGACATTAAAAAATATATTAATAATGCGACCGTTATACATGTCCAAACAAAATTCCTTTCAATGTAAAATGAACGAAACCCTCAGCAATTAAATGTAAAACATCATGTGAATTGTTATTTTAAAAAACTACTAAGATGATTGCTGAAGGAAAAAAAAAAATCAAAAAAGTTTTATTTTGTATCTATATTTTGTAGATTGTTTGATTATTAGAACCCAGCATTCTAATATTCTTCTGTTTTCATTTCATATGTACATGTTATTAAACAGCATGACGATCATCACGACTCCAACAGACATTGATATGTCAGGTCAGAGACATCGCCGGGCAAGTCGTATGAACGGTCGCCGTCAACGACTTGCTCTCGGATCGGTAGTCGACCACGGAGCTGAAATCAATACGGCCCTCGAGATGGTCCAACTTGTCCCGTCCAGCATTGCTTCTGTTAAACCTGACCAAAACATTGACATGTCTGCTCAGAGGCAGAGACGGGCACATCGAATGGGCAAAAGACGTCAGCGTCTTAATCTTGGACCAGCGTCTGATCACGCGGCAGAAATTGCACAAGTCATCCATGACTGTTCTGCCGCGTCTTCAGACGCAGCAGCCCTCGAAGTGGGCAGCGATTGGCTTTCCTTAGAGACAGCTGACATGTTGTTCACCAAAGACAACAAAGCTAGCTCTCTTAACTACCTCAAAACTCATTTCAAACTGATGCCACAAAAACTGGCAGCGAAAATGAGGAAGTGGTTAATTGGCAGAAAGCGAGACTAAACTGCCTTGTGCAATAAGCAAGCAGTTTTCCCACTGTAAATATGTATATAATTATGTTTGTATTTTACTATAAAAAAATCATAATAAAAACAATACAAAATAAAGGAAATGAAAGCGAAATAGACATCTGGGCCCCGTTGCACAAAACTTACATTGATTGTAACTTTGCCATTTATGGTAACTACCATGGAAACCTTGATTTTGATTGGCTGTTGAGCCCTGCCTACCATTAGTTGGCATTGATGGCAAAATTACCATCAATGGTAAGTCTAATGCAACGGGGCCCAGTATGTTCATGCATTTGGGGAATATGACATAGATCTAAATTTGCCAACAAGTCGGCCAACAATAGTATTTTCAGCAAACAGAAGTTCCTTTCAAGCCGTGTCTTTTGCGGCGACAGATTTAACATCGAGACAAAATATTACTCGATCTAAATTCACAAAAGACATCAAACACTTTTCTTTTCTAGAGTAAAATAAAACACGATCGGAAAGACTTTCCAGAAAATCAACTCAAGGGCAATTTCAAAGCCCTAATGACTGTCCCATATAGAAATCATTTTCTGGTTACGTAACACGTCTTTTTGATGTTCGCACATTTCAGTGGGTGATAGACAAGGCTATTGAAATTGCCTCAAGTTTAATTTTCGAATGTCTTTTCAATCGTGTTAAGCGAGAAACAAAATAGCAAAACGGGAAAATAATTTACTTCTGCAAACAGCGAGCAGCGATATGCGCAGCAATAGTTCATAACATAAATAAGAAAATAAATAATTATTTCGATTGTATTCCTCAAAGCAAACAAAACCAGTACCAAATAAAACATAAACTTCTTTTTTTTTCATTCAAAATAATTGGATGTGTAGATTTCGTTGTTTGTTAGCATTATTCCAGTTGTGGACAACTGAGTGTGTCGTGAGTGATAAAAGTAGATTACAAATGAGTGGGATATATAATTATATAGACCAAGTCAAAAAAAATAACTTTTTGAAATATCGATCTTATACAGAAACCTAGAGAGTCACAAAGGTCTTATGAAGAAGAAGAAGAAGAAGATGATGATGATGATGATGGTGTTGATAATTATGATGATGATGATGATGATGATGATGTTGATGATGATGATGATGATGATGATGAAATTGGTGATAATTATGATGTTGATAATGATGACAGTGGTGATGATGATGTTGATAATAATAACGATGATGATGATAGTGGTGATAATGATGACGATAGTGATAGTGGTAATGATAATGATGATGGTTATGATGGTGACGGTGATGATGATAGTGGTGGTAATGATGATAATGATGATGATAATGATGATAGTGGTGATAATGATGACGATGGTGATAGTGGTGATGATAATGATGGTGATGATGATGGTGGTGATGGTGATGATGATAGTGGTGGTGATGATGATAAGGATGATAGTGGTGAAAATGATGATGATGATGATAGTGGTGGTGATGGCGGTGGTAATGATGATGGTGATGATAAATACGATGATGGTGATGAACATGGTGTAAATGATGGTGGTGATTGTTATGGTGAGGATGATGATGCTGCCGATGATGCAGATATGATGTTGACGTTAAAGGTGATGAGTGACTTGCGGCTACTTCTAAATAGAAGGGCGATATTTAAGAAGAAAAAAAAACCCAAGAAGAACAGTGCTTCCTAGATATTTTACACGAGATTACAGAGTAAAAATCACCTTAAGTGTTTTGTTCAGGGCAATCGGACAATTACGCATCATGTTGCGATAGGGGTTTGGGAGGGGAGAACTAAGAATCGAGCCTTACCGAATGATTTTATTCCTGGCCATCTGGAAGTACCTTCCTGGACCCATCAATCCTGTCTGGTAGAACTCCACATCTTCGGACGATAGGGCTTCAAATGCTTCCGGGTCGATCTCCTTGAGTTGTTTGGCTACACTGAAACCATCGACTAAGGTACTGTCACCACCAGCACCTTCAAACTGCTTGATGCAATGCAGTAATTCGATCTGAAAGAGAGACGGAAATGGGAGTCGGAACGTGTTCGTCAACATAAACTGATTCAAGATAATCCTCTGTAATTTTTCGTTCTAGAATTAAAAGCGAACAGAACTGTTTATTATTTTTTGTCACCTTCATCAAAATATACTAAACTAGACAATATTTAGGAGCGTCAGTATATAAATGTTATGTGGGACGTTAACAGTTGAAATAGAACAAAGGAACTGGAACAAGTTTTCAGCAAATTTGAAAAACCTCCGAACATTTTCTACCCTTGTTGACTATGAAAATATAAAATGAGGATTTTTTTTTCCTATTAGAATTTTTCGGCTGACATGTCACAAAATGTGACTGACGACCCCCCCCCCCCCCTCCATCAATTTGTTTTACCGACGCCACTTGCAAAGAAGATATAAATCTGAGGAGGAAAGTAATAGATGTCCTCCTTGCACTTAGTTAAGGCTACTCACCCCTGGTTGTTGTTGGTAATATGTGAGGTCGGTATGAAAGAAGAGATTTCCCGCCGTGTAGATAGGGTTCTTGGGGTTTGTTGGAGCATACACTGAACTAACCTGTCTGTGAAAAAAGACATACAATGATGATAATAATCATGAAAATGAGCAGGTACCTGGTAATTATTATCCGTTTACTTGTCACTGTTGGCGCAATAACATGAAGACATTTTGAAAAACTTCGTCAGAGAGAGTAAACACACTTTTTGTGTAAGGTAATTATTTCAAACATCCACTTTTTCTTTTGATCATCGATCTCCGAAACATTATTTTTATACTTCGTCTCAAATTTCGAATAAGATTCATACACCACACATCTCTTTGGAAATAAAGCATATCGTCACACAAAGAGTGTTTACAAGTCTTCTGAAAGAATTGCAAAAGTAGTTTGTTATAAATTTCTCTTCGTTTCAACATCAACCGTACCCGAAATTTGTATCTTTGAGGTATCCAACCCTCTTCCCTAGCTGACTTAAGGCTTCTTCATTCTGAGGGGCATTCTTAATCATCGTGAGTCCGAGCGTTTTGATTTCTTTCATCCAATCATAAAGCACTTGATTTGACGTCATCAGTTCGTCAAACTGAAACTCGCGCAGACGATCTCGTATTTCATCCGCGCGCCAAAATTCTGGCGGGAGATCCATTATGGGATCCGGAGCGGTGTCATGGAAACGGTTGCACCAGAGCCAGGAAGATGGGTAGACGCTCTCGTGATCGTCGCTCCATGTTATCCTTATATGTTTGCCATCATCGTCGACGGAGATTTGTGTGGTTGCGGTTTGCAAGTCAAGGTCTTGTAGGTTCGTCTGGAGAAATAACCGGGAAGAAATAGCATTTTAAAATCTGTCTACAAATAATTCGTAATTCTTATCCATGGCGACCGCTTTGGGTACGCCGATGAAAGGGTTTCTTTCCTAATGATGACTAATAATTTAACACCATGTTATAAACAAAATCGCAAGTATAGCTAGTCTAATACAAAAATGTGTTACCATCGTGACTGGGTTCGTATCTTGTGGAATTTTTCTCCGATGTAAACTGCTACTTATACGTTTTTTAAAACTTCTTTTCATGAAGTAATTGTGTGAACAATATTTGTCCTTGATCGATAATTTCTATATTTTATCGGAACTTCATTTATAAATCTAAAGAGGCATCGGTCATAGAGATCGATCATTAAAAAATAAAAACTGAAGCCGTCTTTATGGGCAACAGTTACTGCGTACATTTACTTACGTAACATTTGCGATTATCACAATATTTGATTTCAGGGAAGTACCACCGTTTGAAACGTCTTTAACATTAAAAAAAAACGACTTTTCATCTCAAAGGTACAAAGTCTAAAGTGTTATCGCCAGGAAGCTATCCTGCAGAAGAATGCACGATACTATCAACATAATTATATTGCAAAACCAATGTTATTACCAACTTTAAACTGTGGTTAGGCATTTACACATCATCCCTCTAGAGATTATCAAACATATATTTAAGACCGCTTTTAAGCTCTTTTCTAAACCGTTCTGATGAAGACTAATGAACTTCCTAATAATAATATTAATACCGCTGCTGTAAAAAGATGCGATTGTCCTTATACACATCCTGTTATGAATCTGCTAAAGACTGCTAGAGACAGAAGAATTGACCAGCATAATATATTATAGAACCTTGAGTTCCTCTATATGCCCCTAAATTATTAAAGAGCGAACGTTAGGCCTACAAATCGACCTGCCTATACTTTGGTTAGTATACTATTTTGTCTACAGCCAAAAAACACAAGAAAATGAGATATAATATAAGAACAATTTTAACGCAACCATTTTCATTCTATTGACTACTGTTACTGTATTATCAGAGGGCCCTTAGAAAGAACAGTAAGTGCATTCCTAACCTGGGTTTTTCTTAATTTTTTAATGCTACATTAATAAACTCTTTATCATTATCAACAACATTATTCAGTTTAAAAAAACACACAATATTTTCGAAAGATTCTACTAATTAACTACACGCTCATAAAAGATGACCCCTGAACAATTATCAATGTACTAACTTTTTTCGTCACCGAAGCCTCGTCGAAACACTGCTCACAGTGACAGAAGTCCCGCAGCCAGATATACGGATATGACGTCGACAAGGCTTTCCTAATTGTCTCGCCCGATGTCGATCTCTCTGTCATCTTCCTTCTCTTCGCATTCTGATTGACATCGTCATCTCCGAACTCCCAGTTGATGATCACTAATCCAGTTTCTTGACATAAACGAGCTTGTCTCACACTGTGGTTCGACTTCCATTCCGACTGGGAGAAAATACTGGCTTCGGTTTGATAGGCAGTTACCGACGTCATGTTCACAACAATAAAGAACAACGAGTAAAAAATAGGATCTCGTCACAAGTCGCTGATAAGATCTCGTCACAATATCCCGCACAATATTCCCCGATAAATTATAATAAGTTTCAAAGCGATCTAGTCACTAGTAACTATAGTTCCTGTTACTCTAACCCATGCTGATCGCGCCACCGCACCGTAGTAAACACTGTACAGTATGTTGTGTATTGTGATTGCTCCAGGAATCTCCTTTTCCACCAAGCTAGTATACTGAGCGATGTTTGACCTATATTATAGTGCATGGTGAAAAGATTATTACAAATCCTATTTCTCCCATTGCAAATATTGTTCATGTGTTAGGTTTCTCTGTTTGCCAACAGGGTCAAAGGTTCCATTACTATTGTATCGTTTACTTGTCTAGATCAGTAACCAGTGACCTCTATTTGTGCATTGATACGATAACAATCTATACATCTTGGTGTCTGCTCCCTACCCGCCCCTCCCGGCCCTTCTGTCTTTCTCTCTCTCTCTCTCCCCCACCCTTCTCTCTCTCTCTCTCTCTCTCTCTCTCTCTCTCTCTCTCTCTCTCTCTCTCTCTCTCTCTCTCTCTCTCTCTCCCGCTCTCTCCCCTCTCTCTCTACATCTCGCTCCCTCTCCCCATCTCTCTATTCTATAATATAGAGAGAGACCCCTCTCTTGTGACGGCGAGCTCGCTGATCTCGATCCACTGTAGAAAAATCACGTAGGAATCCGTCTGTGTTAAAAAAAAAAAAACATCTATCATTATCATTATCATTATCATCCTCATCCTCATCAACGTCATCCATATCTTCATCACCGGCATGATCACTATTATTATCATTGTCATTATCATCATCATCATCGTGGTAGTACTGTAGTAGTAGTAGTAGTAGTAGTAGTAGTAGTAGTAGTATAGTAGTAGTAGTAGTAGTAGTAGTAGTATAGTATGGTAGTATAGTAGTAGTAGTAGTAGTAGTAGTAGTAGTAGTAGTATAGTTGTAGTAGAAGTGGTATAGTAGAAGTAGTACTAGAAGTAGTATGGTAGTATGGTAGTAGTAGTAGAAGTGGTATAGTTGTAGTAGTGGAGGTAGTATAGTGGTAGTGTAGTAGCAGTAGATAGTATAGTAGTAGAAGTTGTGGTAGTAGAAGTATAGTATTAGTAGTAGTAGTAGTAGTAGTAGTAGTAGTAGTAGTAGTAGTAGTAGTAGTATAGTAGTAGTAGTATAGATAGATAGATAGATAGATAAATGGTATTTATTGATTCATTTCCATGTATCGCAGTTACAAGTAACTGAATTGTGCATTAATAAAACATTGATGGTGAATACAATTATACATTTCAAGTGATATCACAGTAAAAAGTAACTGAATTGCACATGAGTAAATTGCTGGAAAAAAGCAAGTATACATTTCAAGATGTCACACTACAATCTACATAATTATGAAGAGCGTGTATATACTATATACCATTAATCTTATACAATATTTCAATTTAAAAATTTGAGTTAAAAAGAAAGATAGATGGGAAAGCAGGAGAGAGAGAAAGAAAGAGAGAACGAGAGAAAGAGAAAGAGAAAGAGAAAGAGAAAGAGAGAGAGAGAGAGAGAAAGTGGAGAAAGGGGACAGATGGACAGAGAGGGAAAACAATTATGTACATGTTGATAAAATACAAAGATACATTGCAAGACAAATATGAATATTATAAGGTGAACATTAGAGATATTAAGATATAAATATAGATATGCATCGCATTCTTCATGTCATATAAAATACATTGACTAACTTGACTAAAAAAAATCAGACCTCAAATTTATGAATTAATTATATACTAAGGAATATGAAATTGTAATTTGTTTCAGAGTATATTAAATACAATCATAAAAAACTTTTGTTATACAAACGGATCAAATCTGGGATTGGGCTATTCTGCATACGTTTAGTTTTGCACCTGGGTTCAGGGATCTTGTTATTTCTTCGCAAAGTTCTATTGTGTGCTCTTTGGGGTATAAATTGTTTGAACTGGTCTGTGCATGAAAGAGTTTTTTTAAAGATGGTAGTATAGTAGTAGTAGTAGTAGTAGTAGTAGTAGTAGTAGTAGTAGTAGTAGTAGTAGTAGTAGAAGTGGAGGTAATAGTGGTAGTATAGTAGCAGTAGATAGTATAGTAGTAGTAGCATAGTAGCAGTAGATAGTATTGATTTGTGAGGTCGCAGAGCGAAAAATTACATCTTACAAAGAGGAGACAAAACATAATTATATGAACTTTAAGTGCAAGCGAGCATTTAAAAAGTTAATCTTAGTAGCTTTAATTGTGAGCACATTTTATGGTGAAAGGAAAGAGAGCACTTATCCAAATGGAAAAAGAACACTAAATTAGAAAAAAGGAGCACGTGTCAAAGTAAAAATGGGGCACTTCTCGCACCTGATATAGGCACTAATTACAAAGGAAAATCGGCAACTATCGAAGGAAAGTGGCACTTATTACAAAGTTAAAGGGGGCACCTCTCAATATTTGAATAAGAGCACTCACCGGAGATTTAAAAAAGGGCACTTATAAGAATGAAACGGGGGGCATTCAAAATAAAAGAGGCACTTGTCAAAATATAAGGGGCACCGCTCAGATTTGAAAACTGGCAATTATAAGAGGTAAAGGGGCACTTCTTATACCTGATAATGGTTACTCACCTGAGATGAATAGGGACACTTATTACAAAATGAAATGGGCACTTGTCGAGGGAAAAGGGGCACCTATCAGATTTTAATAAAGGCATTAATCAGAGGTGCGAGGAGGGGGCATTTATGAGAAGGGGAAGAGGCTCTTATTAAAAAAAGAAAAAGGCATTTATCAGAAAGAAAAGGGCACTTGTTAAAGATGAAGGGGCACCACTCATATTTGAATTGGGACAATTATCATTGGTGAAGGAGCACTTATCAAACTAAGGCCGGGGCAATATAAGATTGTGGAACGGGCACCTATAATTAAAAAAGGGGCACTTTTCCTATATGTAAAAAAGACAATTCATGAAATCTTGAAAAAGTAGTAGTGAGTAGTAGTAGTAGTAGTAGTAGTAGTAGTAGTAGTAGTTGTAGTAGAAGTAGTAATGTAGTAGTAGTATCTGCAATCGTCATCATCTCCATCATCATCATAATTATTTTATAAAAGAATGAAGTAAAATAAAGTCGTCTCCACGATCTCTCTCTCTCTAAAATAGGCCTAAAGAGGAAAGCTACCAAAGAATGTCACTGAGTTGTTGCCTTTTGCGATAGGCCTACTATACAAGTACTATTGCATTTTTATTTATATCGTTTATACATGTTGTATATCTTTTTGAAGATATATAAAACAATTAAAACATTAATAGCATTTCAAATATAATAGGCCTATAGGCCTACCATTATATTTATAGGCCTTCTCACCGTGAATATTTTCTCTCAATACGTATTTCTGCACATGCGCAAATAGAGGGCGAGCTATCAAAATGGCGACTTGTATGTGTGAAGCATGACTGTAGAAATCAGAGAGAATGGCTGCATCTGCCGAGGTAAATTCTTATTCTAAACTTTTTCAATAAGTTAAAATGTAAATCATTCCTTTGGAATATTTTGTTAATACAGATATATTTGATTCATCGTTCAGAAATACGAATTTGCTTCCCTTTTCTGCAGCTGTCTCTGTGCCTGTGCTGATTGTGCACAGTGCAGTGTGAATGTGTGCAATGCCAATGGCAATGGAATGGCATTGCATCGGTTTGCACTTTTCAGTTGCACTTGCTTGCACTTGCAGCTCTAATTTCCCAGGTGCAAGTCTCTCTCATTCTTAATCATGTTTAAGCTGAAAGTTGATTGATGTCCTTTGTATTGAATACACCAGCTCCTAACTTAGTAGTAGATCTATAGCATATTCTGGTAGTTTTTGTGTTTCATCATGACTTCATGTTCATGATTTTTTTTCTGCTGAACTTCTTTCCTTGTTCTTCTGCTACAGAAATCAAACAGGCCACTTACTTGACTTGTGCTTGTCCCAGTTTATTCTCTTTCTTTGAAGCAGTAGTAGACCCGATAAAGGTCTAAAATATGTTATGATTCAAAGATCTACATCAGACTTTGCCTTTCTGTCTTTCTTTCTTTCTTTTCTCAGACTTTAATTAGTTTAGAATAACGTAAAAATCGTTTAACTTTTTAAAATTACAAATTCATTATGAGTGGAATTGGAAGAGGGGAAATCTGTGAATGTATTTTGACATGTTTGTTTCACTTTTCATAATGCTGATGTTAAATTTACTTTTACTTTTTCTGAACATTTGTGGTGAAAAGTCCAATTGTCAGCATTAATTTTCAATAAAACATTTTACTGAAGAAAACCATTTTCATTTTATGCAAATCTTACAAAATATCACATATTTTACTTTTACATCATTGCATTTGTATAATTACTGTATTTGTGCCAAGTTACAGGTTACTTTATGTTCTGGTCATGGTGGAAAATAGGTCTACATAGAATCAAATGATACTTGAACTATCACTAAATGTTGAAAACGACAAGCAAAAATGATTTTTGCCAAGTGATTTTGTCAGAAAATGTACAGAGAAAGATAATGAAATTGAGTTTGTAGTCCTAACCCATAAGCATAACATGTTTCTTTATCGTATAGTTATAGTCTATAGTCTACATGTATAAGTTGTACTTCTCAAGTGGATACACATTTTCAACATGTTTTGTTAGTTTGTCCTTTACAACTTGTCTACTGCATGATAACCCAGAATTAATAACTTAGCTAGTTTCTCTAAAAACAAATTCCAATCCTAAAACCTGAAATAAGCATTGTATAAACTTTTATGAGACAGTCAACATACATTTCTATCATTTCTATTGCTGACAGGACGTAACATTTGGAGACTTCAGTGCTCTGTGCTTGGAGGAATATCTAGCCATCTTCCAGGACCCCCTGCAAAGCTCTGATGTTGAGGTAAATCTATAACAAATGTTGCATTATATCTCATACATGGTTTGGAGAATTAGTGCTAGATCGCTCTCGTTTAAAATCATTATTATAATTCTCCATGGGTAATTGCAAAAAAGGCTACCCAGGATTTGGGAATATAAAGGGCTGCCATTAAATGATGTGGACTAAAATCATAAAAGAGTAAAGAACATCCGTCACAACACTGGGCGTCTTTTGGATGCCCAGATGCCCTCCTGGCTAAAGATCCGGCCAGCGTCTCACGAAACCGTCATAAGTACAAGTTAACCGACATCCCATTGAAATTGTGTACTAAAGACAGTTTCATGAAATCCTGCCGCGTTTCTATTAAAATGCTGATTTAATCATCTTCACATGTACATGTACAATAAACCAGGAAAATTGGAACAAATAAGATATACTTCAACATACACCACTGTACATGTCCGTATAAGGCAATAAGAAACTGATACAAAACCAGTGTGTACAATTGTGAAAAATGTTCTTCTTTTTTTCCCTTTTTTTTTTTTGAAGAAGAAAAAATAAGAACCGAAACCTATCATTTGTATCATCAAGTCTTGGGATTTCAGGGATATACAGTCTGAATGAATAACAGTTTTTATAATGTTTTGATGACAAAAATCACAATCAAATTTTGATGAGTCGTGATTTCACCCCTGTTTATATGTAATTACTTTCTTTCTCTCACACAGTTTCCTTGGGATGACAAGAGCCTTGCTAGGAGCACTGTGCCAAGTGGTAAGGATCTAAAGAGAATTACTTTCATTGAAACTTATATTGTCAGCTATATCATAACTTCTACTCTAAATATATCTGTGGGTGTGACTTTCACCCAAGCTCTAGTTTACCGGTAAACCATTTAAAAGCATTTTGTAAAGTTTTGTAAGGATAATGAATTTTACCATGAAATTAAAAAATTCCTGTACATGTATATCATAACAAATGATGTGACTTCTCGAAAGAAAATGTTTAACTGGGATTCTGAAGGCATTCAAAAATCACATTTCCATTTGTTGAAACAAGTAATTTTAAAAAGATTGACATGATATTTTCATTATTTGAAAGTTCTTATACTGCAAGGCAGATGAGCAAATACTGCATGGCACTAAAAACAATGTGGAATAAATTATACCACTATTGAGTGATACAAGGAAATATGAATATGTTAAATTGCATGTTTACATTTTATAAACTTAATTTCTAGGCATTCAGAGTGTATATTTGAGAACTTGTGTTAGTTATCTTGTCAACATGATCTAGCAAGCAAAAAGTTTATTACGACTTGTTAATAATTGTAATATGATGATCATCATCCTAATTTCTTCCTCTCTTTTTAAGCTGCAGGGAATGTAGGGAGTGCTAACTGTACCCTCAACCAGCAAGCTTTCCTGAAACAATCGACACTACAGAGTACTCAGGTTGTTGGTAACAATGTGGCAGCAACATCAGTGCTTTCCTCCGAGAGTCCTCCAAACTCTTTCTATGGCTTGGCGAACAAGTCCTCTAAAGGAGGTCAAGTGACCAGGGAATACCCAGAAGTCCACTCCCAGCAATGGGTCAACCAGTCGGCCGGGAATGCAGCCACCGATCCCCTTGACCGAAGCTCTGCTGTGTTTGGTGGGAACGATTCGCAGCAGGATGACAGCTCGAAGAAGAGACGCAACAAGAAGCGCCGTGATCCAGAGTACTACAACAACTACTATGATACTATGAGCGGCGCTGAGAACGGAAGCGTGAGAGAGGACTCTAAGTATGGTGGGACTGGAGAATACATGCCCCCATCTGGGTCTACTGAGCAGAATGAATACCAGTCTGAAGCAGCCGCAGCCCCTACTCCTAGCTATGAATATAATGCAGATGAGAAGAGCACAGGGAGAACTAGTTCATATAATATGGAATCAGTATATCAAAGCACTGATTATGTGCCTCCAAGAACAGCTGATGTGTCTGATGATCAACAAATCAAATCAGATAGCCATGACGAATCAGTGCCATCAAGTGGTACTGTTATAATGCCTGCTGTGGAGACGGTGAATATAGGTGACGTGAATGATGCTCATGCCAATACTGAGCAAGGGAATAGCATTGCTTCCAGTGTGCCGTCTGTACCCATCATACACATTTCACCCAGCGAGAGCACATCCCCTAATGTGCAGAGTGGCGATTCGTTCGATGAGAGCTTCCCTGCAGCCACGGCGGAAGGGTTCGGAGGCCCGAAGCGAGCAGCTGCAGCGCCCTCTGCCACTCCTCCAGCAGCCAAGTCCTGGGCTAGTCTCTTCAAGGGAGGCTCTGGAGTTCAATCAGGACAGCCATCCAGTGCGCCCTATGTGGCTATCAGTGTTTCTTCTGATCCGTTACCTGGAGAGGAGCTAGATGACGGTTCCGTCTCTTTGGTCACAACGGATAAGGATCCACATGCAAAAAGATTAGGAGGTAAGGAGCATTTTCCAAAACTTTTCTACTTGGAATCAGTTTGAGATTTTCCTTATGTTTTAAGCCAATCCAGAGTTATTAAAGTGAATGTTCCTCATTTAAGGGTTTCACACTACTGATTCCCAATGTCTAGTAAATTTGAGAGCCATGTCATCGGCCTCTGCCAGGTCCCTCTCAATGTATGTTGCATGGCTAATGTATGGCTATATGCAAGTAAAATGACATGCGGTTTGCATTAGGCAATCACTTGTTTTCTTTTCACCATATCATATGTATTAATTTTTCTATAAGATCTCTCTCTCTCTCTCTGAAAGGCAAAGATATCTATCAAATTTTTAGCAAACACATATCTTCTGTTCAACATCAAAATCTACCTTCATGTTAGTCTTTTGCGTTGTTTCATCAAGGTATTCATGTCTTGTTTGTTTGCTTCAACGAGGATTTGAAATTTCGTATCGACTCTTCATTTGAACCCGTTTTGATTCTCCTATTGTAATTACATTGATAATATTCAAAATTCTGGTCTTGATTCTCCTTTTGTATTGATTGCATGTATACTTTATATGGATTTTCAATGATTCATTTGTCACCTATTTTGATTCTTCTTTTTGTCTGTCATTGTTTTGGTCCAAAATATTTTGATTAAAAACATTGATAATGGTCCAAAATTCTGGACTTGATTCTCATTTTGTATTAATTACTTGTACTCTTGACGAATTTTCAATGATTGATTTGTCACCTATTTTGATTCTTCTTTTTGTCTCTAATTGTTTTTGTCAGAACACTTGAGTAAGGTGATGCCATCACACCATCCTATGAACCTGCAGCCAAGGGGTCTCATCAATACCGCCAACTGGTGCTACATCAACAGTGTATCCTCTTTTAATACGAACATGTAACTATGAATAGATAGATAGATAGATAAATGGTATTTATTGATTCATTTCCATGTATCGCAGTTACAAGTAACTGAATTGTGCATTAATAAAACATTGATGGTAAAGACAATTATACATTTCAAGAGATATCACAGTAACAAGTAACTGAATTGCACATGAGTAAATTGCTGAAAAAAAACAAGTATACATTTCAAGATAGCACACTAAAATCTACATAATTATGAAGAGCGTGTATATGTGTACTGTATACCATTAATCTTATACAATATTTCAATTTAAAAATTTGAGTTAAAAAAGAAAGAGAGATAAAAAGATTCAGAGAGATGGGAAAACAGGAAAAAGAGAAAGAGAGAGAGAGAGAGAGAGAGAGAGAGGGGGGGGGGGGGGATGAAAGGGGACAGATAGAAAAAGAGGGAAAACAATTATGTACATACTGATAAAATACAAAGATACAATTCAAAACAAATATAGATATTATAAGGTGAAAGCTGTTTGGCATCTAGTGATCATGAGTTCAGGGACACCTTTTCTGCAGTTGTGTATGTTAATAAACTGATATTTTATAGGGTGGTTTACTTGTATGCTGTTACAGCAGTACATACAGTACTTGTATTCATTGTTCTTAGTTCTGTATCAGTTTCAGTGTTGGATTGTAAAAGATTTGACAAACATTACTTGTGAAATGTTTTGTCCTACTTGCTGTAGTTGCCATGTAAGCTTGTGACATATTATGTGAATAGATCACTTGTTTACATTCCCGTTATTGGGTATTTTAATTCCGTCAACCTTGGTGTTATTCTACATCTGATTGCAAGCTGTTGATTAAAGTAGACTTATAGGTACTCCCTTTTTTTGTTTTTAGAAGCAAAAAAAAAATTGTCTTACCTTTTGCATGTGATTTATAATGGGAGCTTTACAAATTTGTTGTGATTTCTTTGACTGACGGGAACTAGATTCTTCAAGCGTTGCTATCTTGCCCACCTTTCTACCACATTATGAGGAATATGCCTCTCAACAACGGAGTACGCAAGTCAAGCTCAACACCCATGCTTGATGCCATGTGAGTAATCCAGACCGAAAATATCTTCCAGAATGGTCTTACAGCCGTTATGGAAAATGCTATTGATCTTGAATCAAAGAGGCTTGAATCGAGGTAATGATGATGATTGTGGTTGTGATAAGGATGATGTTATCAATGAGTATGGTTTGGGGTTAAATGTTGATGGATGATGATAATGTAATGACCCTGATGTTGGAGATGATGGTATTGAGGAAGTTGATGATGAGGACAAGGAGGAGTAGGAGGAGGAAGAACAGGGAAAAAATTAATATTTATTTTTCGGGGGCTACTTTTCAAGCTTTCCTGCATGAACATAACACTCTAAAATTTGTTTTGCATTGAACTCTATGCACATTTACAGGGGCTCTTTTTTATTTTGGGGGGCTCTTGTAGGCATTTCGGGGGCTATTTCGCCCCGAGCCCCCGTGTATTTTTTTGGCTGAGGAAGAAGAATAAATAAATGGCAAAATGATGTTTTACTTCAATTACTTGTGGTATTTTGTGTTGTTTTGAAAAAGAATTGATATTGATCAAGCTATTTTTATGCCTCCGTTACGAAGTAGCCGGAGGCATTATGTTTTCGGGTTGTCCGTCCGTCTGTACGTACGTCCCGTTCTCGTGATCGCGTTATCTCAAGAACTGACTGATGGATTCCTACCAAACTTTGGTCATGTATGTAACTTGCAGAGCCAATAAATTGATTAGATTTTGGGGTCACAAGGTCAAAGGTCAAAGGTCACAGGGGTCATTATGTATGCAAAAATAGCTTGTGGTCGCGTTATCTCAAGAACCGACCGATGGATTCCTACCAAACTTTGGTCATGTATGTAACTTGCAGAGCCAATGAATTGATTAGATTTTGGGGTCACGAGGTCAAAGGTCACATGGCTCATTATGTATGCAAAAATAGCTTGTGATCGCGTTATCTCAAGAACCAATTTATGGATTCCTGCCAAACTTAGGTCATGTATGTATCTTGCAGAACCAGTGAATTGATTAGATTTTGGGGTCATGAGGTCAAGGATCACAGGGCTCATTATGTTTGCAAAAATAGCTTGTGATCACATCATTAGAACAGATGGACAGATTACCATGAAACTCAGGACATGTATGTATCTTGCTGAGGCAATGAACTGCTTAGATTTTCGGGTCAAGGTCAAAGGTCATGGGGCTCATGTAATGCAAATAGCTTGTGATTGCAGTATCATTAGAACCGATGGATGGATTACCATCAAACCTAAGGCATGTATGTATCTTGCATTTGGGGTCATGAGGTCAAAGATCAAAGGGTCATACATGTATATGAGATATAGCTTGTAATAACGATATTCTGAGAACCTGTGAATGGATTACAACTGAACTTGAATTTGAAAAATTTCTTCCGTTTTGGTTTGTAAAATTGATCTATGACGGAGGCATCACTTCGCGCAGTCGAAGTTCCATCTAGTTTTTTTATATTATAGACATTTACAAAACACCCATTTCATAAGTTCACATGTCAGTATTAATTGCAATGATGATCCTGCAATCATAACAGATTGATAGTAATTGTGATTAGGACAAGTCAATAATTCCTCGCTTGATGTTCATGTGCTTGATTTGAACAGGTATAAATTTCTGAAGGAGTTCCAGGAGATGAAGGGCCTCTCTAAACGCTCACCTCTCGACATCCGTACTGGTACATGCTTTGAGCCAACCGTCATCTATCAGATGCTCTCTGTTGCCAACACCTCCCTCTCTGTCAAGGTAAGACACTTACACACAAGGTCAAATCAGGTCAGGTTGGTCAGGTCAAGCTGGGTCAACCAGTTCCGGTCAGGTGAAAGATGGGTCATTTAAAGCAAGATTTACAAAACATATTGAAATAAATGTAACTCTTTTTAAGCCATCAGTGATTAGTGCTAGAGCTTGTTGCTGTGACTACTCGTATAAGACGTACCTACTATCAATGTCTAAATTAAGCTTGGTTACTGCTAACATTGTCTAAAATGTACATGTATAGATAGTTTTAACTTTTGAAGATGTCAATACTAGAGTGATCTTAATATTGTTAATAATCACAAGTATATAGAGTACAAAAAGAAGCGAGTAGATCAGATATGCATCTGCCTTTTTTAATCAAAAACTGTCACAAAACACACACCATATTATGTTGTATATATTGCATCTAGTAGTTTTGATTCCAACGCCTGTAATCGTGCTCTGTTTTGTTTTTGCTGTCTGAGCAGCATGGCCGACAGGAAGATGCTGAAGAATTCCTATCGTGTTTGCTGAATGGTCTTCATGATGAGATGACTTCTCTCATCCAGCTTTATAACGGAGAGGATGTCCAAGCTAATGGTAAGCCAACAAAGTATTACTAATTATTATCTATATAAGGATTCCAAGTGATACAATAAATCAGTGTATTTAATATCTTAAGCGCAGTACTCGGATGACAGATCAATATTGTTTTCGTATTGCTCTTTCATCCTGGAGCTCAACTGTCATTACAATATTGCTTGATTATCGGAAATCAACAACACTCACGCTAGTACCCGGTCACTGTACCCAATGTGCAAAACTGGTGTCCCTTCTGACAACGGAGCGTAGCGGTCACAATGATCCACACACAAAATGGCAGCTTATATAGATGATATAGATAATATTGATGATAATAATGTTGTATGGCTTTATTTTCGTGTGATACAAGAATATATTGATCTCGCTATGACAATATATGCTTGTATCCGATATTGTCATAGCTCAAGCAAAATATTCTTGTATTACACTCAAAGCCATCAAATATTATATTAGTATTTAGTGTCACATGTGTCTGAGAGTGCAAAGAGCAAAGTGAATCACTGTAACCGTCTCTCCTCCCGTTATAACTGAAGTGTGTATAATGTATTATCAACAATCCTTGGATCAAGAACACACTATCCTGTAGAGCCATAAGACTATTACTGTGTTTAATTTATATGAGTTAATGTCATTCTGGCTGTCAATGGACCACATGGGCTGCAGAATATTTAGAGTTTCTTTGCAAAATAGTTTTATTAATATGAATTTTATAGTAGAATAAAAATCCTGATGAATTTGGATAGGTTGGAAGTGTGAAGAATGTTCAAGAGGTGTTATTCTGAAGTCAGTTTCAGGTTTTGTAGCAATGATAAATCGAAGAGGACTGTTCCCCTCACTTTTAACAATATTGTTTTTGTCTTTGACTAGACTCGAAGCAGAATGGTCCAGCATCATCATCAGTAGCTGTTGCTAACGGTGATGTAGGTAATGGTCACCCGGAGGAAGGAAGCGATGATGATGAATGGGAGCAAGTTGGACCACGTAACAAGACCAGTATCACAAGGAAGGTCAGTACTTTATCAATGTACAAAAAATACTTTTCTGGTTTGGTGTTGCATCAGTGTGATTTCTCTCATTGATATTAAAGTATTTTATTATTTTTTGTCAGGGCTCTTCTTCAATTCCTTCCTCTTCCTTGACTGAACTTCAGTATAGTAGACTTAAGCAGATCATGTTTTACAGGATCTTTTGTAACTAAACAGGCCAATCCTGGAACAAAAACATTTACTACATTTTGAATGACATGTAGAAGTCAATGAGGATATTGTATCCCATCTAACATTTGAGTTTCTATCTATCCCTCTATAAGTAGCATTTGACGCCACTCAATGATTCCTCTTTGCAGGCTCAGTTCTCGAGCTCCCCCCTGTCTAAGATCATTTAAAGCAACATTTGAGTTTCTATCTATCCCTCTATAAGTAGCTCTTCACGCCACTCAATGATGTCCTATCTTTGATATGATTCCTCTTTGCAGGCTCAGTTCTCGAGTTCCCCCCTGTCTAAGAGGCTGTTCACACGGGCAGAGATAGTGCGCGCTTGACCGCGCTATCTCTGCGGTTTGGAAGGTTCAACGTCGTTTCGGTCCGCCCAACAGCGAGCCACGGCGGCGAGCCAAAACGGCGTGCCACTGGAGCACCTCTTGGGGGTGGTCCACGAGAGATAGCGCGGTCTAGCGCGCGCTAGAAAAAAGGGGGTGCTACGATAGACCGCGCTATCTCAATACGGTGTGAACAGCCTCTTAGATCATTTGAAGCAACATTTGAGTTTCTATCTATCCCTCTATAAGTAGCTCTTGACGCCACTCAACGATGTCCTATCTTTGATATGATTCCTCTTTGCAGGCTCAGTTCTCAAGTTCCCCCCTGTCTAAGATCTTTGGTGGCATCATGAGGTCCGCTCTTCACCAGCATGGCTCAAAGGAGTCTGCCACTCTTCAGCCATTCTTCTCCCTCCAGCTAGACATTCAGGTAAGTGTGTGCTTGCTTCCTGACATTGCACCATTCACATGAAATTCTGGGTGCACATTGCACAATCACTTTAGTAAACCCCTTGCTATTCCTCTTAGGGTATTTGATTAATGAACAATTCAACTATTTTAAAATATTAAATATTACTATTAAAATGTTTTATTTTACCATTAAAGATTTTGTGATATTGAAAAAATTACCATGGAATATTTTCTTAACATCTCTTTTAATATGTGCCATAACGAGTTTGCAGATCTTTTAGTCTCAATACTCCTCTCTTATTAGATACCCAGGAGAACACCGAAAGTGTATCGGAAATGTAATAATGTGGAAAAGAGGATTAGCTTGTGCCTTGTGTGACCCCTTTGTATTTCTTATCCGTTTCTGCTATTAATCCCAGTCTCAGGACATCTGGTCTGTTCAGCATGCCTTGGATAACCTTGGAAACAGAGAGTCTGTTCATGGTTTTATGTCAAACAAGACCAAGAAAGAAGTAAGTAACAGAAATGCTTTAAAAAACATATCTTCATTCATACAAGAAACGTTCCCTTGTTGGAAATGGTTTGTTATACCTCTCTGAAACCCTAAATTTATTTGTGGCAAGAGGGTTGCCAAAGTTAACACCAATTTGTGATCAGATGTATATATCAGGGAAATTATTTTAGAATTTTTGATTGATTTTATTTACCAACAGCAATACAGTAATACATTTCAAACAATGTGTTTACATATACAAGAGAAATTATTGGTTGGTAAAAAGGGCCAGATAATAGCACATGTGCTAGTCTAGTCGAACCCCTTAAACAGCTAAACAAAGTATTTTGGTACAAATCAGTTTAGAAAACGTAACAAAACAAAACTGATGAATTTACTATTACAATCGATACTCTAAAAAATAAGAATACTTAACAATGTGTTACAATATACAATCTTATAATGTGAAATATAATTTGTGTACATATGCAAATTATTTAACTTGATATTTCATTCATGACTTGTCAACAAATGACTTGTTAATGATGTATGAGATATATTTAAAAGTTTAATGAAGTAATGATGATTGTTAGTACTGGATAACAATACAGGCTTCTCAACTTGTGTTAGCACACAGCTCACAGTGGTAGATAATAGTAGACCTTGCCACCTTGGTCAATCGGAAATCTGGTAAATTCTGATAAATTTCAAAGTACTCTTCCCTTGTAACCAAAATGGTTGTTTCATTGTTTTCAGGTTGAAGCGTTCCGTCGCATCACTCTAGAAGAGCTTCCACCGGTCCTCATTCTGCATCTCAAGAGGTTCCTCTATGATAAGTCTGGAGGATGCCAGAAGCTCATGAAGAAAATTGAGTATGCCATGGAGATAGAAATTAATAAGGGTAAGTTACACGGAAGCAACTTGCACCAAGATTTACAGTATTGTGATATCGTTTGACAAACAACAGTTTATCTTGCTTCGTGAAATTACAATGGATTCAATGAATTGTGATGGTTGATCAATGGTAGGTATACCATTTGTATCATGAGATGCAGTTTGTATTAATCAAAGTATAGAATGAACAGAAGCAACCCTGGTTAATACTTGTCTCCTTGTGTCTTATTTCTGATGAAAATGTTGGCATAGTCACATGATAATGTTGGCATAGTCACATGATAATGTTGGCGCAGTCACATGATAATGTTGTAAGTGTTGTAATCAATGATTAATGTTTGTTTTATGGACATATCAGTATGTAAATAGTCATATCTGATTGATACATGTCTGTAAAAACCCCATTACACACACTCACATGGAGCAATAAAAGGTGTTACAGCTGTTAAAGTTTGTATGAGTCCATGGCTAAAAGACAATATTTGATTTGTTTAGATCTGGGGCCTAATTTGTGTTTATTTAATATTTTCTTGTCATTGTTTTATTTCAGACCTTATCTCTCCAAATACCAAGTCTCGAATTGGACTAGTTCAAAGAACTTACAAGCTGTTTGCAGGTAACTTTGTTTTAAAGTACTTTGAAGAAATAAATCCTTTTTGTCTTTTCAATATATTCTGCCTTTTCAGTATCATCGAAATTCCGTAGTACAAGACACAGTAGTTCTTTTGTAGGAAGTACTTTGTTGTTGTTGTTTTTGCTATTTTTGTATATACGGTTATGATTCATCAGTATTATATAAGGAATAGGTAATGCATTGTTGCATGAAACAAATCAAGTGCGAAATAGAGAGCCAACCTGTGGAACTATGTACATGAAGTTTAGTATGTTTCCTGGTAAACATTATTACAAGCTTCCTCTTAGCCAAGTTTGTGTTTCAAGGGGTGTTTCTCTTTCACTACTATTCGGGTTAAGTACCCAATTATATAAATTTGAAAATACAAGGAAAGATTGGAAGATGATTTAGGATATGTAGCAATGTTTATTATGCTCCCATCTCATACTGTACAAAGAATATTGATATTAATCTGGAAACCTTGCATCATGAAATGCACTGTGTGCTTATAACGGTTTCTGGAGCTGAAGCTGGGGTCATAATTTCAGAAGATTTTTAGAAGCGCATCTAGGGACATTATATATCATGATGTGATATTGGCTATGCAAGAGCGGGACTTTTTATTTTGATGTTAATAATCTGACTCAACTTTATGTTTTCTCTTGCAGTTGTGTACCACACAGGGAAGGAGGCCTCGGGGGGTCATTACATAACGGACGTGTACCACGTAGGAACCAGTGCCTGGTTGCGTTGCGATGATGGTATCGTCAAGCCCGTAAAGGCAGCCCAGGTCATCAAGCCTCTAACAACATGTATACCCTACTTGCTCTTCTATCGTAGGAAAGACTTGCTAACAAAACCTACAGCTTCATGAGAGTGCTCAATGGATCTTGGAAGCAACAAGTGATGTGAAAATCTTGATACCGGATTTCTAATTTTGAATGGAATACCGTGGAGACCCCTTTTGAGAGGTGATATTTTACAAGTTTTGTATGGATGATGATGATGATCCTTAAGGGCATGGATGTTAAACGCTTGCTCTACCATGCAATGTCAGCTGCGGAATATTATGAACTAAGCATTTTCCTTTTCTTCTTTGATTCTTATGTGATTGCTTGAAATGTCAAAAGTAAAGACTATTTTTTGATGTGATTGAAAACATTGCACAGAATGCTTACAGTATATTGCAATGAAGAGAGAGTGGAGCAATCTGTTTCAAACGTCAGCGTCGTTGCAACGAGTAATATTCTGTTCTATTGATGATGATGATGATGATGATGATGATAGTATGAACTACTTGAGTGATGGTGCCAGCATTTTTGACTGGTAACGGGAAGCTGCAAATTACAGTGTGTGAAAGCTGATATCCGCTTTGCCTCAGCAACATGGTCGACTGCTGATACATTGTGATGGTTACACAGAGATAAGAGTCGATCCAAACGGAGGAGATATGAGGAAGCATTTTACAAAGCCAACATGCTGCTTTGATTAAGTAAGTAGTATCTTAAAACGTGTCCATCCCAGAGCTGATAGCTATGTAGATGCGCCATCAGCCTCTTTCCTGAAAGTTCTGTTCACCAATTCGTCAAGTGAATGAGGATCATCTAGTGTTGTTTGAATTTCACCTTGCAATATATTGGAATATGAAGCAAACTGTGATGTCCAGAATAAATCGTCCAAGAACGAGGTGGTCAAAGGACCTGCAGGGCAGCTGCAGATGGACTTTGGTGTGCCCCCTCTGTGTCCACTCTGTGCCAGGAGGATACTATGGAAAAGTGCTGTATTGCTGAAGATAGAAATATGAATGTTTCAGTTAGGCTAAACTCCTATACACTGTCAAATTCAAATTATTTGTTGGAAAGGAACAAAGGAGAGTGTTCGTTCTGTCAATTTAACCCCCTCAAAGAGAATAATTGGAACTTAATATATGAAGTCCATGTCAGTTAGATTTGTCACCAATCACCATTTCTTCAAGATATAGAATATGCTATTATTTTGAAAATATGTTGAGTAAGAATATTTTCAAAGCATGTTCATGTACTTCATGCACAGGAGTATGAGTTAGTGGAATCCATTTTGTGATGCCTCTACGCACTAAAATCAAAGCAACTCACATTATTCTTATATGTGAAGTTCATAAGAATTATGTAATGTTATGAGGGGAAAATTAACCTTATTTGATATGTCTCCATTACTTTTGTATCCTTTCTTCCTTCTCTATATTCTTGGTCAGATGTAATATTGTCTAAAAAGCTTTATATTATGTGTTAAGACACAATATCAATTGTAAATATTAATATATGTTTTGTGCATTGTACAAGCATTGATTAGATGCACTTCTACATTTTAGTCAAATATATGTAAAGCTAAAATAAATATTGATCCAATATAATTAGAGATATTTGTATTTTTCTGCTAACTTTTCTCCCAAAGAACTTAGGAATTTAATTTATAAACAGTAACTAAACTGTGAAATAATAGAGATTTGATACTTTATTTAAACTTTTAAAGGAAGTAAATAAATGAAATAAGAAGCCTAGTTTGGGAGAACATTAAGTGTTAGATGATCTATGAATTGTGTACATAGTGTAAATCATATAGATGTTAAAGTCAAACTCTTAGAGATATGTTGATAGTTTGTATAAAACTGAGTGTGAAATCTTTATTTTATCATGTGCAAGGTTGATGATTGGTGATTCTGTGCAGTGCGTCCCATACTACATATTTCAATTATTCATATATTTCACCCTTGAATAATATATGTCATGATATGACTATGACTACTGGCAGAAAAAAAAGATTATTTGTTAATTGTTAGTCATTTCAACAAATTCTTTATTTGGGGATGAAATACATGTATGTGGGGAAAAAAGACATGTCGTATGGGCCACGTTAGATAAAATCGCTTCAGTGAGGAATAGATTAGCCCTGACTTAGGGATAGCTTTTTTTCTTTTCTTTTTTCTTCCTTCGAAAGGGAATTATTATGGAGAGAGCTGTACAAAGAATGTGTAAGCAATAACAATAAATACACAATACATGTGGTATGTATATTTGATGAACACAACATACTGTACATGTATGTATAATAATCACAATATGATAAGTTCACTGGACCTAGGAAACGTAAATTCTGGGAAGCATTTGTGCTCCGTAGAATATTAAATTATTGCTGTTGGCTATGTCGAAGTACACTGTATAATAATTTTGTTGTAATGAGAAAATTTTGAGAAAGTCTTAATATTACTAATTGCTTGTGTAGTGGCTTTTGGGCAAGCTTCAGGTATTTGGTTTGAGAAAATAACAGGACAGAAATGAAAGTCTTTATTTTAATATCTTGTTATGTGGTCTGCCTTAAGATCTAGTAGGACTAATAACTTGTTAGAATCACTGGGTACTAACAATTAATTGTTTTAGTACACCAGACTTGCGCTTCAATATGGATCGAAGCAACTGTAATGAGGCAACAAAATGTAACTGGACCATAAATAACAATGGGGCGATTTAAATATGAATGTACTAACCCAATTGGGGGACAGGACAATGCTTGGAATAGCCTGCCTGCTGTTCATTATATTTATCATTATAGATTGTCATTGTTATAAGATGAAAGTCGGGATATGTGGAGATGGAGAATGGTACTTGTAAAGTGTTGGACATACATTATGTATCTCTTTTCCTTCTCACAGAAATGTTGCATATACATGTAGGAGTTGCAAATGTACGTGTATAGTTGAGATAAAATTTTGTGTGGATGGATGAGGAAAACTGCATAAAATTAATGATTTTATATGTACTTGTGTCGGGGGAGGTGGGGATGAGGGTGGGAGTGGTGAAGTCTGATTTACATGTATGACATGTCATGATATAATAATAATAAATGAATAATTGCATACTTTGAATAGCAGTTGAAAATCATGCATACCTTCATGGTATGTAAGATTATTCGTTATTCTTTTCTCTATGTTTGAGTGCAGTTCTGAAGTCCAAATCTTGTCCTGTGTAAATCTGTGTCTTTTTCTTCAGATTGCATAATTTTCAAGATTTTCAAGCATAAAGATTACTTATTCTTGTCATCATGATAACTGCTAGAATTGCAAGTATAAAAAGCCTGGTTAAACACAGAGTATCACTCTTATCTCTCCTTCTTTCTGTCTATCTTTGAATCAAAACAGGTACAAACAGAATTCAACAAATATGTCATCTTGGGATACAAGATGGTGTCTAAAAAAATATTGTTGGAAAAGTAATTTTTGAAATTATATCTCATTGTTTCAGACTGCACAATTCTCCTAACCTACTCTTGCATTAGTACATACTAAATGTGCTTACTATAAATGTTTATCTATGCTGTACTTTAACAGACTTTGCAAATGTTTAATGTTAATGTAACATATTGTGCTTGTTGAACTTCCAACTGCTCAAATTGTTTGTGTAAGTATGAAAAAAATGTGTCATGCTAAAGAAAACTTTCAAGTGCCTTATTTTCCATGGTCTAAATTATGTGTTCTTTTACGAAGCACATGTTTGTCACATTGGTTCAAAATTAGCTTTTATTTTGAAGTGCTGGTAGCTTTGAAGTTTTCTTGAGCTTGAAATAGTCTTTATGTATGTACAAGAAGAAGAAAATTCTTTTTTATGATTTAGAATTTACTTTCTTACGTACTAAAGGGGCAGTGCAGATGCATTATTTTTGTCTCGGTAGAAAATGATGAATATGAAATGTTTGAGGGTAATTCTTAGTGAGCTGTGTGATTGATAAAGCAAATTTAAATCCAATTTACCTTTATTTTGTTTTAAGTCAATTATGGTTTATTCCCGGCCCCCCCACTCAGTGTTATTTAGGGTACGCATATGCGTGTTCCAACCGACCCCCCCTTTTCAGCAAAAGTCCGGTGTGTAAAGTCAATACGGCTCGACCTTTTTCTTTTGTATACGAGCCTTTTTCAGCATCCCCCCCTTTTTAGCAAAAGTCCGGTGTGTAAAGTCAATACGGCTCGACCTTTTTCTTTTGTTACGAAAAGGACATTTTGGCAACACGCATGCGGTCATTTTGAAACCTGAGTGGGGGGGCCGGGGGTTTATTGCCCTTTCCATTTCCTAAAGTACATGTACATGTAAGTGAGAGCAATATGAGCTTTATGAATCTTAAACTGCGAGTCTTGTTTTCCTCATTTATCAAGATTTTAGTTCATATGTTTTTGGTTACCATTATTTTAATGTATTGACTGTGAATTTACTTCCGTTGTACCAAAGCCTCCTTATCGATGCTGTCTGTTGCAGTCTGTCCCAGCAAACAACTGCTGGAAGCCAGCCGAAAGGGGATTAAATCTCTGATTAAAGGAGTTCAATGCTTTTTTCTCAACAGACTATAATGACCTGTAACTCATACATCATACGTGTGTTGTCCAGCTTTGCAGAAAATGCTCCGTTGTCAAAGCTTGTAATATAGTTTCTCTGCAATTTCAAATTTGTGTTTATTTCTTCATTTCCATGTAGTCTATGCCTCGTGTATTAGACCCAAAAATGTTTCTCAAACTTGCGAAGTTGTGAACTAATCAGGAAATGATGAACAATTTACCCAAAGAGCTACTTCACTTCTGTTTTCCAGACTCTAAGTCTACCTTAGCATGTATAATTTCAGTGTAAAGAAATCAAGGTTTTTGTTGTTGATCAAATTGAATTTTTTATGTTATGATTCTATTTCTTCTTTAATATGTCTTGAAGGCTATATAATATGGTCTTAAGTTTTGAACACACGGATGGAGACTCAAAGAACGTGATTATTTTGTGGATTTCTTTATGTTTTGGTCTTTTGAAGTACAGTCTGAATGTACTTGTATCAAAACAGAATTTCACATTGACTTCAAATACAATTCTTGAATAAAAGCTTTGAAGGCAAAAGGAATTTAGTTTTTGTGGTTGTGTTTTCTTTATTTAGTACAAGATTTTTTCTCTTTCTCATCCATTATCACCTTGTCATTTTCAGACACATTAGGGACTTTTAGATTTGCATAAAGACTATGGGGATTGCTACTGTCGACGTCCTTTTAATGCACTGCCTTGAATGGACATCACACGTATCAGTTCACGCAAATCTAAAAGTCCCTATTATCACACACTAAACTTCATCTGCGTGGAGCCAGAAGGGTGTTAACTCTGATACTGGCTCCAAACAGTTAGAGTTGATCTTTAATTATGGTTATGAATAGAATTTTTTGTTATTCTTTAACTTCAATATTCTTTAACTCAAAAGTTTTTTTTTTAAAACATCTTTAATACCTGGTAAAATGTACCAAAGAAATATCTTGCCTTTAACATTAATAATACAAAAATCACTCCAGGAGACTGCTTTGATTATAGGCAACATAATATATTTATTCAATAAACTTCTTTAGCTGACAAGAAAATAAGTAATATTGCACTTTTTTGCTTGGATAACTGAATATCTATACATTTCACCCGATTAATCACATATGGTACAAATTTCTAATGCAAGATAATACAAAGCATATTCCAATAACCATATTGGAGAAATTTTAAAGCCATATGCGAGAAAATCAGGAGCTTTCCTTTAAGTTTATCTTACTGGTAAATGTTGGTCAAGTCATGGAATACAGGAAAAATTGCATGTTTTCCTAAAAACTTGTATTGTTTTTTTTTAATAGTGGAAATTTACATGTTTTCTAATTTATTCAAACCATTTACATAAATAGAAACCTTCCTTGCGAATGATAATTGAGAAATAATCAGCATTTCAGAGATAATCATAATGAAGCAGATTGGTCATGTTGTGTGACAGTTTATCTGTGATTAACCATAAATAAATAACAAAGTAAGACCCATTTGCAAATTGACCAAAACAGTAATTTACTTTAAACAATGCATGCATACATCCAATAAAAAGGGAAATAGAAAAGTATGAAAGGACATTTGCTAGAAAAAGAAGGAGGAAACTAGATGGAATTCGACTGCGCGCAGTCGAAAATGATGCCTCCGTCATAGAGCAATTTTACAAACCAAAACGGAAGAAATTTTTCAAATTCAAGTTCAATTGTAATCCATTAACATGTTCTCAGAATATCGTGATTACAAGCAATTTCTCATATACATATATGACCCTTTGATCTTTGACCTCATGACCCTAAAATCTACTCAGTTCATTGGCTCTGCAAGATTTCCCGAGTTAAATAGTAATCCATCTGTCAGTTCTAATGAGAATGCGTCCACAAGCTATTTTTGCATACATAATGAGCCCATGACCTTTGATCTTATGAACCATTCATTGGCTCTGCAAGATACATAAATGATCTAAGTTTGGCAGGAATCCATCAATCTGTTCTAATGATAATACGATCACAAGCTATTTTTGCATACATAATGAGCCGCATGACCTTGACCTTTACCTCATGACCCCAAAATCTAATCAGTTCATCAGCTCTGCAAGTAACATACATGACCTAAGTTTGGCAGGAATCCATCAATCGGTTCTTGAGATAAGGCGATCACGAGCTGTTTTTGCATACACAATGTGCGCTGTGACCTTTGACCTCGTGACCCCAAAATCTAATCAGTTCATTGGCTTTGCAAGATACATACATGACCAAAGTTTGGCAGAAATCCATCAATCGGTTCTTCAGATAATGCGATCACAAGCTGTTTTTGCATACATAATGAGCCCTGTGACCTTTGACCTTTGACCTCGTGACCCCAAAATCTAATCAGTTCATCAGCTCTGCAAGATACATACATGACCAAAGTTTGGCAGGAATCCATCAATCGGTTGTTCAGATAACGCGATCACAAGCTGTTTTTGCATACATAATGAGCCCTGTGACCTTTGACCTTTGACCTCGTGACCCAAAATGTAATCAGATTGTTTTCCTATAGTGATACACACTATCACTAAGTTTGAAGTTTAAATCTCCAGTGGTTCTTGAGATATCATGATAACAATCTCAATGTATGGAATTTCATAAGTTGACCTCTGTGACCCTTGACCTTTGACATACGTGCTCCAAAATCTAATCAGATCGTCTTCCTATGGTGATACATACTATCCTTAAGTTTGAAGTTTAAATCTCAAATGGTTCTTGAGATATCGCGCTAACAAACTCAATACAAGGAATTTCACAAGTTGACCTCTGTGACCTGTGACCTTTGACCTACGTACTCCAAAATCTAATCAGATCGTCTTCCTATGGTGATAAATACTATTCCCGAGTCTTAAGTTTAAATCTTAAATGGTTCTTGAGATATTGTGATAATGGTCAAACGGGACGTACGGACGGACGGACGTACGGACGTACGGACGGACAACCCGAAAACATGATGCCTCCGGCACCACCTTCGGTGGCGGAGGCATAAAAAGCTTGGTGCTGATATAAATAATGTATATAGAAATTTAGAAAATAAACAATATTTCTTTCATTTTTATTGGAATGATGCCTTTGAAGCCAAATTGTTTTGGGGTAATTTACAACAAAACAAAATAAAACAAAAACAAAATTTGTTCAATCTGGTAATACATAATTCTAAATTGATTATTTCTTTCAATTGAAATGAAATATGTTCAGCTAAAATGGTTCCTGATTGCAAAGGCTCATCATTTCCAGTTGGAACACAAACAAATTAAGTAATTTGGCCACACTTGTGTCAACTACATGTATTTTATACATGCCAAAATCTGTTAATGTTGACAGATTCTGGATCCCCCGAAAGAAATGTCATCAATATGTTTTAGCACCGGTCTCAGTTTAACAAGTGCAATAGATTTTAGTAAAAGGGTCAAATCACTGATCAACCTTTTAACCAAAAATTGCCACAAAACTTGCAAAAAAATAAAAAGGCCCGATTTCTATCCGGCATGGCTAATATTAACGCTGTAAAATTAACTTTTTCAACCAGATATGATGTTGGGCCCACTGTTTGGTATCAAAATGATGGTCAAAAGAGAATTAATTTCAATGGTAGTCTGACTCTCTCTCATGGCACACAAGTGATAAGGTGGTTTGTCCCATACATTACCAATACTGGCAATGAATTTTAGTACCTGATAATTCTTTCAAGTTGACAAATGCTACAAGCACTTGGATCAGAACAAATACATTGACATTAGAGATGATCATTATTTGTTTTGATAACTTTTATTTGTTCTTGGTAACATTATGAGACAAACAGCTTTGACTTGCCCATGTAGCTAGCATGGATCTTGGTATGAACTGAACGTTAGTCCATGTTTTGAGAGGGCTTCTTGTTTCCATGACAACTAGGAGTCTGTAGTGAAACAGGTCAAGAGGAATTGGAGGTCACGATGGAAGCTAGATTGCAGCTCTTGAAGAAGTCTGGTAGAAAACAAACAAAAAGGAGGGACTCTCATGAAATACATGTAATGTGTTCACAGAAGTCATTATCTATTCCTTTTTCTTTATACATATACACAGATCTTATGAGATGGCAACAAGTTAACGGTAGGGTAGAAATAGTTGTACGAAGATTAATAATGATTTTTTTTCTCCCTCTATCATAAAAGAATTAAAAAAGAAAAAATGTCATAACTGGTCTTCAGTATGTAGACTACATGATTATTAATATTTATATGACTTACAAGTCCTTGTTCCTTCTATATCGTCTATGAATTATTGTAAGTTTGCTACACAAATTGCAAACTATGTGTATGCACAGAATTCATGATCATGAATATGTATATAAAAAGATACAGGCTACATATGAATACAAATTCTACTCACTTCTTGTGTAACTCTGTCTTCAGTTGAGGCACAACAGACAAAGCTTCCTTGAATGATGCACTGTATGACAAAAAGTAAATAAATAAATGAATAAATACAAAATAATGACAAGAAACTCACCAAAATTGTGGGGAAACGTAATTTATTTTTTGCTAGTGAATTTCTAATACAGAAAATCTGATCCAATTTTTTTTCTCAAGAAACTAAGTTCAAATTTATATTAATCTTGATGAAACAAAGCAAATTTCAGAATGTAATGTTTAAATTCTATGAACACTAATGCTAGTCCTATGAGATAAAATAAACCACATAAAAACAGAAAGGAAAAGCATTTCAATGTTGTAATATCATTCATCAAATCTATGAGATAAGACAGGAAATATGAAAACAAAATGCATGTACACTCTTAAAACGCCTTTTTGTAAGATCTCGTTGGTTTCTATGACCTTTCTGCAGTCTTCATACTCCAGTTTTGTGAGGGTGTGACATTTAAAAAAAAAGAGTCCCTTTAAATCTAATCGAAAAGCTGTTAAAAGGGTATTATTGTGAACATTGAGGATGATTGTCAGGGCAGGTTCTTCCCGCCACTGGTAACCATGAAAACCAGTACTACCTGTTCATGGTCTGGTGGTCGGTGACTAAACCGACTTACCCACCCAAGGCAAGTCAGGTGAGGATGGTGTGTGGAATCCTAGCAGGATTTAAAATAAGACCTGTCAAATCACGGATGGGTGCATGGAGGAATAAATGGGTATCCACCCTTACTCCTAGGGTGATGGGTTGGTGGTATGCTAGGTCAGGCTCAAGATAATAACAAACGCTCCAATACTAAAATGATGGTACTAAGTGTCATCATTGTGGGAAAGTCAGTCACCCCTGATGGAAACTGCCGACTTCAATAAATGACGATAAAGATTATGATGATGCTTTGCCCTTAGACCATTGTGTATTGGTGGTTATTTTACCCGACTGCTTAGAAAGCATAAATGCTTGTTAGTAAGCAACCAGAGGAGCGAGGGCTTTAGGCCCTCTCCGAGAGACCTGGTAACGAGGATTGATGCCTTACCAAAGGGCACTAGCACATCGCCGAGGTCGCAGGATTACGAGACCACTGCTCTACCAACTGACCTATCGCGTCTTGTTCATGTCAAGCTTTATTTCATTAATAATGAAACCATTTCAAGTTCCAGAATCTGCTCCCCCACACTGACCTTGTTCCTGCATTCCTGTAAGGTGACATGGCCACCTCCAGCATACCAATATCAAGCCTTGCCTGAACAGCACCACTGCTACAGAATGCCCCGGTCACACAGCTCATGATACGTGACATCTCATCTGCTACGGCTTCTAAGACACGCCCCATCACACGCAGCATGAAGGCGGGAGCAATGGCGTTGATCTCAGCATGAATAGCAACAGCATTCATCAATGCTTCCTTCACATAGGGACTTGCACCTGCATATACAAGGACGGAGAATGGGCAGATTTTTATTGTATGTTATTGTATTTGTATTTAGTATTTATTGTCTATTTCTTGATATTTGTATTTGGTATTTATTGTCTATTTCTTGATATTTGATTTTCACTGGTGTAACATATACAGATTAACATTTCCTAATGAATTTACAAAAATTCTAGACAATAACAGTAAATAGACAAGGTTTTACATATGATAGGAACGACATGATGGCTAAATGTAATTAACAAAAATCCTCCCTAAAAAAATGAAAATATAAGTAAATCCAACAGAAACACCAGTGAAGGTCGCCACAGTGCATGATAAATGAACCAATGCATAGTTCCTACATAATAAGTTTATTAACTTCGTTCTCACGATTTTGATTTAAATGTTTACACCTACCGGCCCATTTATATTACCGGTATCCATGATATATTGTAAACATCACATTTTCAGTCTCTGGACTACCGTGTTGTACAATATATGTTTAATGTTGATAAAAACTGAATGAATGAATGACAAAGAATTTTATGATTACCTACATGTTAGCTTTAGGTTAAATTATTTTTTTACAATACTTATGTCTTGCTTTAGGCAGTATAAGTGATTGTTATGACTTGACAAATGCATCATTAAAATGACTTTCTTGCCATGAAGTTGAGAAAATTGTATAATTTATGAAGTCATAGGGAAACATGATATTTGATTTACGACTGCTTTCTCATGAAACTGACATCAAAATAATCTGAAAATTAAAGATCAAATATTGTAAATGTTTAACTCATATGAAATACGCCAGTTAAAGAAAACAAGAGACTATGGTGGTAGTTGTCTCATGTACCACCAGGGGGATCATCAGTTGTTCTTCCACCAGTCTTCATGAGTCTCGGCCTGTTATGAACAATACTCTCTTGGTGATACGCTAGCAGTGCAATGGACCACCTCCCCCTGGTGCAAATGAAAACTCAACAAAATGTTGTTCAAATGTCAGTCGCTTTCTGCTTCATATCATGGGTTGCCTGAAGAATCAGAAGAATTTGCTAGTACTTACCTGTAGGTTCTGGGCAGTCGCCCCAATCATAGTTGCCTGCATAGACTCCTACTTCCAGAGCTCCAACCAGAGGGTCAATCTTCTGCTCACAATACGCCTCAAAGATCTTCTCATCAAGCTCAGCGTATGCTTCTTGGGATATCTAAAGAGAGAGTTGTTTGAGAAGGAAGGATTATCATAATTTTGAGTTTCAAACCTGCTTTAATAACCATCTGTATAGAAAGACCACCAGTCTATAAAGACCACATTTTTTGTTTCATTGAAATGATGATTCTCTTTGAAGTTTGTGTGAAAGGAAACCTTTGAATATAGACTACCTTTCTATAAAGGTGTTTTTTTTTTAAATCTGGTCTATCAAACCTAACATATCCAAAGGATCTCAAAATATTATACAATTTGACTTGATCATACATGTATGTCTGCAGATCTTAGGAGCATCAAGTGGATACGATATCTTAAAGTGTGTTCTTATTTGATGTTCAGAGAATTGCCAATATAATACATGAAAAGCATATCAGCATTTAAACTAACATTCTGAATAAATGTTTAGGATTTTCTTGATATCATTCTCATGTAAACTGTAATAAAATATAAAAATATATAAATTTGTCTATGTTTTCTATTTTATCTGTATCTTTATTTCCAATTTTGTTCCAATTTATCGCTCATCACTTACATTTTCTATTTCATGTGTGCTGGGATAGCCTAGTCTCTTGAACTGTTCAATCAGATTTGGGACGACGTGTTGAGAGACGTGACTGCAGTTACTCAGTACAATCACCAGACACTGCTCCTGTATTTTAAAAAGTTGCATAATTCATCAGCATCTTTTCCATTCTCAATCCATAATCAGTCATCTTTACAAACAGTCTATGATGAATATAATCACTAAATCTATGTAAAGCTGCCAAGATCAGTAGCTTATCAGAATAAAATATTTCTGATTCTTTGTTTGCATGACCCTATGGTCTTGAACCCCAAGTCAGTTTATCTAATAACGCTTATACATTCTTAAACCACGATTGGTTAAAACCTCTTTTGTGGTTCTGATCTGATTGAGGTAACAAATCAGTATCATGGCAGTCCTACTAAACCAAACATCATATTAGAGGCATGTTGAATACACTGATCTTATCATCTCCCTGCTCTATAGAAAAGAAAGCTACATCAACTGGAGTTACTGGACCATACCTGACTTCAACCATCGCGTCTGCAACTAAACAACCATAATTATTGTGGAGCGCCAGGAGTGTCAAATTTGACAGAATGAGTGCTATACAAGAACCCACTATAACTATTATTATTATGAGCACATGTATTTTCATTAAATGCTACCCTCTTTGACACTAAACAGAACAGACAGAGTGGTGTTCTTACCATGGATGGTATGCTGTCTTCTGGTGATTGGAAGAGTGATTCAGGGGTTCTCATGGCAGCCTCAGATAACCTGGTAGCAAAAAATGTATAACAGATTACCTTTTAAGGTAGTCTCTACTTATGCAAATACAACATATGCATAAACTCTCATTATCACTGTAATTCTTTTGTTATTTCATTCAAGCAGTACAAATTAACAGTAGAATGATATATTGGATAATTCTCTTAATCCTCAGTTAGTCTCATCAACTGTTATTGTTAATAATACACTTCACAATTCCTTCCCTCCTCTTATCACTATCTACCACATTTTACATTTCACAAAATGTGAATCTCTTAAACCTCTGTCATAATGACATTGGATTGATAACAGACAACAACAACAACTGCAACCAGAACAACAACAACAAAAATATTACTCTGAATGGCCAAATATCAGTCTGTTTGGAGTCAGTATGAAGCTGGTTTGCTGAGGTTATAAACACATCATTATTAATGCTATCTGTCATATCTCAAGCAGAGAGGGGGCCATGGAAAGTGTATGTTATATGAAGCGCAAACTGTAGTCAACAGGTAAATGGTTACCCATTATCTAGTATGTATATCTTACCATACAAACCTCCATGAAAACATACATCACATGTACCTTCAAAGTATTTTCGCTCAGTAAGAAAGAAATTTATGTTGTGCAGAGCTGCAACATCTAATTAAGCACAGACACTTCCCATCAAAATATATACCTTAATTTCTGTGTATCTCCATCATCGCCAACGAAAGCTAATTGTTCAAGACATGATGCAAATGCCTGTAACAATTAGAAATGAAAAAGAAAATCACATTTTCTTTTCAAATGATTAGAATAACCTGATGATCAGTAACAGATTATTTCTATTTCTCACTGAATGTGCTCTATTCCTGGAGCAAACACAGAATACAATATGATTAAACCAAAGTATAATATTGATCAAATGCTGATGTCATAAAATATGTTTTTTTAACAGACATGTACTTGGATATTTGGGATTCATTTCACTATAAATCTTTTCAAAGTATTCACGAGAATTATGGAAATGTATCCTTTGATCGCTTGTGAGTAAACTTAAGATTCTGTCTTCAAATACTGGCAGGGAGGAATAAACATAGGACTAGTTGATTTTCATTTCATATTTAAGTCCAATTAAAAAGTTCAATAATGATATTTAATGACATCTCTTACCATAAGCAAATCTGAAGCTAAGTCCACAGTCTGTCTTTCAACATGCCTGTTATCAAATATCTAGAAAAGAGAACATACAAAGGTAGAGTCTAAAATGATTATCTGAAGTCTAAAGGATAGGCTATACTATATGACACTGCTACAACGGAACTTAGAAAACAAGAATATTAGAATAATTAATTATCAAAACAAAATGTCATATCCATATATTTGTAAAGCTCATTTCAAATTGAATCATGATTCATATTTCCAAAATTTACAAAATTGTTCCATGCTACATATAACTGAAATTGATTTTCAAATTTTATAACATCTATCCTATTCCCTGTCAGTATGTACCTTTTCATCACAGAAAGTCAATGAACAAATTATGATCTTAAACTTTTTAACTGTCAATTTCCCCCCCCCCCCCCCCCCCCCCCCCCCCCCCGCCTCGAAAAAAAGTTGTAACACAACTGAAGCTATCTTTAATATAGGATACTCAGAATGACAAGAGTAAGGAAATATTATGTACAAACCTTCTTTTCAGTAGAGCTGGTACATATGATCACTTCCTTGAGATGCTGTAATATGTCGACTACTATACTCTCAAATAGAGTAGGCTAAAAGAGTAAGATAAAAGGGTTAAACAGATTGCAATTTTAATACTGAATTCTCAATTCAACACAAAAAAAACAAGAGTATATGAGATCATACTACTCAAACGACCATTAGTGTTGAATGCTTTTACAAACTACATTCGCAATTGAGCGAGTAACTTTACATTAAAAGGTTAAACGAGAGCTATCGACTGCGCGCAGTTGACAATTATGCTTCTGCCCTCCATGCACTTCTCATTTCCACAAATTTCAAAAGAAGCTAATTACCATAAGAACTGTGAAATTTGATGAAAAAGAATATATACTTCATCCAACTTTGGTTAATACTCTTTATTACATTTTCAGATTTAAAAAAAAAAGGAAAAATTCACATACCGGAAATCTAATATTAGTGATATACAATGTAATTCATACCCAATGCATTAATATATTACTAGCTCATTAAAAATATATATTAAGCCCCTATACATTTTGGGGGTAATATGTGTAAAAGCCTATGGTCAAGCTGTGTGTACACAATGTCTACATAACTGAGATTGCTTTGTGTTGGAAATGCAGTGAATGAAGATTTTCCATTCTCTTTTCTGGAAACTAATCATGGAGAGGGGAATTGCCCCCACCCCCTCAGAAACATCACCACTGCTGCCATAAGCATGAAATACGATATTTTTGATGGTGTTTTTTTTATTACTTGAAATGACCTACCGTGGTTGTGATACCTCCATGTTCATCCATCTGCAGTACCCAGGTCTCACGGCCATGAAGAGCTTTGATATCTGCAAGAAACAGAAAGACATATGAACAAATAACAAAAATTGATTTATTAAATCTCATATCAAGTTGTGAAAACAAAATCCAAGTCTACTGACCTAAAATGACCTTAGACTTCGACTTTGTGATCTGGAATTTGTGTCATGTGATTTATCGTTCGTTCGTGTCTCCTTAGATCAAGATAGTAATGTAAAGTTCCTTAACTTAGAAGTAAATTAAGTTAAATTAAGTTCTTCCATCGCTCGATTGCTGCAATGGCCGTTTCATTAACAAGGGACAGGTCTTCATCTGTGCAACCCGTTCCGCCGCACTGCAAGAGGTGGTCCATCGTCTGAGTCTCTCCGCAGTCGCAGAGAGTATCTCCTTCATGGGCATAGCCCCATCTTGCCATATTGACCTTACACCGTCCCATTCTCGTCCGCATTGTGATTTATGATTGTGATTTATGATACTTGGTAACCCTTGGGTACAAGTTTCATGAAATTTGAACACTTTTAACACTTTTCAAATTATGCTAAACTAGATGGAACTTCGACTGCGCGCAGTCGAAAATGATGCCTCCGTCATAGAGCAATTTTACAAACCAAAACAGAAGAAATTTTTCGAATTCAAGTTCAATTGTAATCCATTAACAGGTTCTCAAAATATTGTGATTACAAGCTATTTTTGCATACATAATGAGCCCATGACCTTTGACCTTATGAACCAAGAATCTACTCAGTTCATTGGCTCTGCAAGAAACATACATGACCTAAGTTGGCAGGAATCCATCAATCGGTTCTTGAGATAACGCGATCACGAGCTGTTTTTGCATACATAATGTGCCTTGTGGCCTTTGACCTTTGACCGTGTGACCCCTACATCTAATCAGTTCATCGGCTCTGCAAGTAACATACATGACCTAAGTTTGGCAGCAATCCATCAATCGGTTCTTCAGATAACGCGATCACAAGCTCGTTTTGCATACATAATGAGCCCTGTAGCCTTTGACCTTTGACCTCGTGACCTCAAAATCTAATCAGTTTTTCGGCTTTGCAAGTAACATACATGACCTAAGTTTGGCAGCAATCCATCAAATGGTTCTTCAGATAACGCGATCACGAGCTCGTTTTGCATACATAATGAGCCCTGTGACCTTTGACCTTTGACCTCGTGACCCCAAAATCTAATCAGTTCATCGGCTCTATAAGATACATACATGACCAAAGTTTGGCAGGAATCCATCAACCAGTTCTTCAGATAACGCGATCACGAGCTCGTTTTGCATACATAATGAGCCCTGTGACCTTTGACCTTTGACCTCGAAACCCCAAAATCTAATCAGTTCATCGGCTCTACAAGATACATACATGACCAAAGTTTGGCAGGAATCCATCAACCAGTTCTTCAGATAACGCGATCACGAGAACGGGACGTACGTACGTACAGACGTACGTACGTACGTACGTACGGACGTACGGACGGACGGACAACCCGAAAACATAATGCCTCCGGCTACTTCGTAACGGAGGCATAAAAATTAAAAATCTTGATGTTGATGCCACAACAAAGTCTAAGTTTGTTGACCTTTGACCTCAACTTAGTGATCTGAAATACTACTCACATGATTGGGGATACTTGATAACCCTATAGTCAAAGTTTCATTGACTAAGAACTTAAACTTTCAAAATTATATAAAAAATTCAAAAACTTAACCTTAGGTTAAGTTTTTCGATGATGATGCCACAACATAGTCCAAGTCTGTTGACCTGAAATGACCTTTGCCCTTGACTTTGTGACCTGAAATTCTACTCACATTCTATAGTCCAAGGTTCATTGACTAAGAACTTATACTTTCAAAATTATATCAAAAATTCAAAAACTGAACCTTAGGTTGATGTTGACGCCGCCGCCGCCGCCACCGCCACCGTCGCCGTCACAAGCGGCGCCTATCTCTCGCTTTTTTGCTACGCAGGCAAGACAAAAACCACGCTTTGAAAAAGGATTTTTCTTTGATATCTAGAGGTCAAGTTTACAAGCTAACTAACCAAATTCTTTTGAACACTTTTCATAAATTCACTCGAAAGCCTCTGAACCAGTTTATTTTCAAAAATTATATTTGTTTGCCTATCAACAGGAGGGCCTCGTGCCAATAGAATTTTAATTATATTTTATGCTAAATATTGGTCAATTCTGAACCCTTGCAGGATAGCAACTATTGGTCTTACCCTCGGTAGCCTCCTTGAAGAGAGTGACCATACAATGAACCCTCAGGTCAGCTAGTAATGACTGCAGGACTTCAAGCAGTGGGGTTGGTACTTCAAGATTCACTAAGGTACTTAGAACAGACCTGTATGATTGAAAAAGAGAGAGAGAGAGTGAGAGAGAGTGAGTGACCATACAATGAACCCTCAGGTCAGCTAGTAATGACTGCAGGACTTCAAGCAGTGGGGTTGGTACTTCAAGATTCACTAAGATACTTAGAACAGACCTGTAGGATTGAAAGAAAAAGAAAAACTATACAAGGTCACCTTGCATATTACTGATGAAACTCCATTTCAAAAGAAGCTGTATAAAACACTTCTCAATGGTTGCATCTTATAGGAAATGGAAAATCCTCATCCATTATAAGCTTGTTTGGAAAATATAGCAAATCACAAAATTTGCTTAAAACCACATGAACTTCAAAGACAGTACATATACACATCTGAATAAATGGGAAAGCTGTTGTGATGTTTATTTCTCATGTAAATCTAAATTAGAATTAAGCTTCACAATGAAATATTGCTTTCTTGTATCCCAAAATTAGCAACAACAAAAACGTACCTGATGGATCTAACACACTGAGGGAGCCAAGCCCCAGCTCCTACTTCATTCTTGCTGGCGCCCCACTCTCCTAGCTTAGCTCTGTCTTTCTCATTCTTCTTCTCAAGAGACTCGGGTAGGAATGCTGCCCTCACGAGGTCCGCAAAGTAGGTAGTGATCTTTGTCATCATGGCCTGGAAAGGATAGAAATGTCAAGAAAATTCATCACAGAGATGAATATGAAAATATATAACTATGAAAAGGGAAACTCACTCACATGCATGTAGACATTAAATCTCACAATCGTTTCAACTAGCGAATAAAGAGGAGAGAAATGGTACACAACAAAGCATTTTAAAGGATTTAAATATCACATTTTCTGTAGAATGTCATATTCCATGCCATCAAATCTGAATAACCATCAGATTGAAATGCATTCTATTTCAAACATCCCTTCACATAAACTTCAATATTATTCCAACATGAATTGACAGTAAACATTTTCCTACATTATGCAAAACAAACGTCTGATTGAGAAAATCTTTTGAAGGTGAGAGTTTTAGCTTGTACTCACAGTGAATGATGCTTCCTTTGTAGAATCAACAATCATAGACTTGCCTCCAGCCTGTTATATGAAATGAATACACACATTAACAAGTCATCCGTTAATAAAGAACAAAGAGCATTAACTTGTATCATTTTACACAGAGTTAACGCCCTTCAGGCTACAAACAGGTGAAACATATATGTCAATTTCATCATTACTTGGATATGTTCTTTAAAATTTTACTGCGTATCATGATAATTGACTAATAACGTATTCCATCTTCAGCTGATCTGAAGAGGAATAAGAAAGCCTATTCAACAATCTTATCACAAGAGAATTTTGTAAAATAAAGAGAAAAAAAATCATTCATGATGAAGACAATGCAGCATATGAAAATACATGGGTTTGAACAATAAAGATATGGATGCAAAGAATAAGTTCACATTTACAGACTGTGAAGTTTCTTCCCTTTCATTTTTCTTTTGTAAAAAGGAGCTTTCAACGAATGAACATTAATTCTCTACTACTCTACTCTATTTTGTTTCAGTAATTCAATCTATTTCTTATTGAAAATGAATTTTAAATCCAGTCATTTTTAGAAGTGTCTCTACAAGTTCATGGTGAATAGACGGTACCTCAGATACGACCGATGCATTGAAGTAGGATTGGCCAAGCCTCCAGAGATTAGGGAAGGTCGTTAGAAGGTTATCTGCCAGCTCTTCCAAGAACAACACTTGCTGAGGGGGTGAAAACTTGCCATCCACTGAAAGAAGAATGGATAAATAATGAAGTAGTACATTAGAATAGTAAATATGAATCCTCCTTTGTCCCCATTTAAATGTATATCTTCTAAACTTTGATGATCTTCTTGTCCTTTCCTCCTCTTTAGTTGCTGTTGTTCATTCATTTTTTTTTCTTGTTCTTGTTACACTTTCTTCCTCTTTTTCTACTTTTTCAATTACATGGACCATTTTGCCTCATTCCTTATGTTCCGCAAGAAATCTGTACAATTATATGTCCAAAGGCAATTTATTCACAAAACTACAGAAGATGGTCTGTATAAAATAATGTATATCTTCTACTTCCCATATAAATATTAACAAGAATCTTTTTTAAATGAATTAAATAGAAGAGTCAGTTTCTACAGTTTGAATAACATAATATACAGTGTGGTTTACTTACTGTTTGAATCAGATGTAAATTTGACTTGAATACCAGAGCCTAAATAAAAACAAAAAATACAAGGATACAGTTAGACAAGTAAAGCTAAATCATAAGCATTATGAATCTATATACAGGTTAATATAAACTTCTCTCTCCAAACATCTATGTGTACGCATGCATTTTGTACGTAAGTACCGGTAAGTGTTTGTGTCACTCTCTCTCTGCACCAAATTTGTCTCATCTCACTCACACTCACCTCTTCATACTCTGCCTCTCTTTTTTTTTTAAAGATAAAGACCAGTTTTGGAATGCCCCCCTCTCAAAAAATGAAATGGAAGCTCTTATTACCAATCACTTGAAGAATATGTTTTGACTAATACGTGATCATACAAAGTTTGCCGGAAACCGCCTACTAATTGATACAATTGGTAAATCATCATATCTATCCGGACTGGATAGATATCGCGTAGTCCCATATCCATCTTTCTGTGTACAGTGCTTGTAACTTTACCAAGACTGGGCCAAATTTCTTTTTATTTTGATGAGTCCAAAACCTTGCAGTACACACCAATACTTATATGCTAGATGATCAACCTTTTTTGATCGATTCCACAACGTTTCTTTCACAATGCAATCGCATGACCAGAACTGGTCTATACCTTTAATCCTCACAGTCATAACAAAACTGTCTTCATCAAATGTCAACATCATGCAAGAGAGATGAAGTCATGCACACTTCAGCTGTCAAGCAGGAATATATTCTATCTGAAATGATATGATCTTACCAGAGAAGTTTCTTCGATGACCCCTGACCTTTGAGGCGTGGCTTGGGGGTTCAATGACCTCACATCCCTTTTGATCTGTAAAAATGAAAAACAAACAAACACACATTCAAACTATTGACAAACGCCCCTGCAGTGATAATGATTGCATGTTACAATAATAATACTCTTATGGGGCATTGCAAGAAAGTTGCAATTGATTGCAAGTTCCAAATTTGCAACTGATATTTGCAATCGATTGCAATTCAACTTTCTTGCAATGCTTCAATAGTCGTGGTATGAATTGTGAATAATGAGGAAGGGAAGGGGAAGGGAGGGGGCATGGAAGGGTTTGGATTAAAAGAGCTGATATAGACATGCCTACCTATCTGGATATGTTGATCCTTGCATCCTGCTAGTATATCCTGGATCCATTTATGTTCATTGACGATACACTCCCATGCTGGGTCTCCTGGTCCACCTAGCTCTACTAGGTACCTGACAACAACAAAATCATTCAACAAAGTAAGAAACCGTTGTGACATGAAACTTTCATGAATTTTTTATGACAAGACAGTTTCCCTGAAAGAAAGTTTTGCAAAGGGAAAATGTTCCCTCATGTAAATCTATCCTATTCGAATGTTTTGAGACACGAAACTTCGCAAATTTTGACCACTTGCAAAGTTAATGGAAGTTTCCTGCACATGAAATCTGTGAAGTCAATAGAAAACAGGCATGGAATAGAAAGCTGTGGGTAAATTTCTTGAAATATAAGATTTGAGCAAAATCAATTATTTGGCCACCCACAAATACAGATCACTAGTGAGAAGTCAACATACAATCATACCTTATGAGCCTCTTTTGTTCATCAAGAGGTGTTGGTAGTTCCATGAGTTTCTCATGAAGTTGGACCTGCAGTTCACGTATCTTGTTCTCTACTTCATCGTACACTGTAGAACAGATGGAGACGGTTGAATGAAGATAATACATGTGTCATAGTCAATTGGTTTCAGTATTTAAATGGGTATGAGAGAGTCATTGGTTCCAGCCTCAGCATGGTACTAATGTGATTTGGTATTAGACATTAATCTACATTTGCCACTCTCAACCCAGGTGTAGCATTCATTCCTTGAATGCACTGAGCACTGATATCTGTTCCAAGAGCTTCAACCAAGGCAAACTTTTCAAAACCTCTTGGTAATACCCAGAGATGTTAATATCACTATGTGATGTGACACATACAAGAATGGAATATTCTAACAAAAGTGGGGCCTTGTACAGATAATCAACATTCTTAGAGAAGCAAAATCTCAGCTGTTTAGACTTTTGAATGGTTCTGTTATAAAATTTATAAGACATGGTATCTGTAAAGGTAAAATGATGGAAAATATTGCAAAATGCAATAAATGCATAACAGAACTACAAACACAATGATGTGAAAATTACTGTCTCCATAAGAATATATTTGAGATACAAAACAATTTTCATGGTATTAAGATACGAACCTTTCTTGAAAGTTGTTACTTGTGTTTTTGAGAATAGTTGACGAGCCCTCTCATAATCATTGATGACAACTTCATAGTCTCCCTGTATTAAAAAACAAAAAAACATTTCACATCAAAAGGGTTATATCAAAACGAAATGTAGGAAATAAAGAGTATTGATAAGGTTTACACTTTCAAATTTGACTAATTCTTCTTCACTACTATCAAAAGGTATATTTTCTTAGCAAGAATTCAAGGGGGTATAGCTTGCTGGATAGAGCTACGGTCTTGGAACCAGGAGGGTTGTGGGTTCAGGACTATGTGTATGTCAGTGTCTAGCCCAGAGGATAAGACGTAAAGCTAAAGGTCTACTGGAGCTTACATATGAATATATAAACGTTTCCAGAGCACGTATGTAAGACAAAACTTTGAATTTCATAACTACTAAGACATAACACCAGATAATGGTTATCTTGAACTGCAATTGTAAGAAAAATGTTGTCATATGTTTCCTTCTTCAAGCATTTTTATTTAATATGGAAAGCTTATTGGTCATGCACAAAACCAACATAATTTTGGATCTATTAATAAATTACAACCTATATGTCAATTTGTCAATCACATTCACAAAGCACATGATCATCTTTCTTGCAAACCATCTATTGACCCCTTGCCTACTGGAACCGTGTTGTCTCTGTATTAAGCCTATGGGATAAGAGAATTCAGTAGTCCATGAGTTAATGATTCCTACCTTCTTGATGTTCCTCTCGATCGTGATAGGAAGATGGAAGAGAAACTTGAATCTGTTGAGAACGTTGAGAGCATTCCTTGTCGAGTCGGCTCGGTCTTTACGATGCAGCACACTCTGGAATATCTTCTGAGCATTCTCATTGCCCTCTGATATATGAAAGAAAAGAAATATATAAAGTATATATGCAATATGTAGGTATTTTTGATACACTTAAAACATATGAAGTCTATCAAATGTTCATCTATAAGGATTGTTACTTAGACTATTCTCCAATAATCAATACAAATTTTACTAGATTTGTCAGATGACGAAATACTGAATTACTCAGGAACCTTTCGTCTTCTTTAATTAATTATTTGCTATCTCAAAATTAAACAAGGGAATAGTTTAACACATATAACAATTTTATATGAATTATCCTTTTAAATAGAAATTAGAGTATTTAACAAATATCTTGTTTAACAACAGGACCACATTTTGTAATAACGTATATAAGCTCTATTAAAGAAATGTAAGATCTACATGGTTAAAATATATATAAAATGCACTAGCGTCAGTAAGACACTAATTCTATACTACCTAGTCCCTCTCATAGTAATCAAAGTTGTTAAAGGTTCTGACTGCTCACATACAGTCATATATTTTCTTCGTAGTCGGAATAAAACAAAATTAACCTTTAAAGGCATTGTTTAACAATGTTAAATCTGAGATACATGGTCCTACGTGTTACCAGTGTCTATGATATATGGTGTAATATTGATGCCCTTAAAAAATTGGGCTTCAAAATGACCATGAAGTGCCTCAAAAAAGTAAAAATAAGTTTTACCATACTCATTTTCCCCAATAGACTGTAGTGTTATAAAAACCGTTCAGAAAACGGAAAATGAATTTTGATTTCCAATCATAAATATCTTAATAATCAGACAAGCGATCGGCTTGTAAAAGTCATGGGATTCCTGACTGACCTAAAGTTTTATAATTATGATTGCAGCATGAGCTAAATCCAGGATTTTGTTTGCAAAATCTGAGGCAATGTTACCGAGTCACTTTAACAAAACAAAAACTCACTGAGAAGCAGGTCCTCTATCTTCTGTAGAGTAGCCATCTTGTCTTGGCTGCCATCTCCTTCTCCCTTCAGCTCCATCTCATCTGCTTCCTTCCCTTCGTCTCCCCCGTCTACCTCATTAGACTCCTCCCCAGGAGTTGCCTTGACCCGGTCTCCGATGTTCTCGTGCCGGCAGAGATCTCCATGAATAGCTGATTCAGAAGAAATTTGCAGGATGGAGCAGTAAAACATTTTAAAGCCCCACTGTACTACTTGTAGCAACTTGCTCCGTCTATATACAAAACAATGCCTAAGCGGTGCCTGTTGGTCCCCCATGATCCCCTTTTTCTTATGCTAATTGAGAGCTGATTTGATGAAATAGCCACCTGTCAGTGACCATGCTGGGTGGTCTAAACCCTACTGGCCCAACTAGTACAGATGGACTTTAAAGCATTAAATCATTTCAAATCATCATGACATTTCATTCTCTTCTTTCTCTTCATCTCCCCCATCAACCTCAATGGATTTTTCCCAATGAGATGCTTTTACCGACATAGGTCTCCATGAAAATAAATTTACAGGTGGAAATAAAAAAAAGAAACAATTTCAAAGTATTAATTTTATTATCAATCATCATGACATTTCATTCTCTGAGATTTTCTTACTTGCTAGGATGTCCTGACAGTTCATGAAGGTACCCAGATTAGATTTGATGAATGTCTGCGGTCCTTCTGTCTTCAAACCCGACGATTGTCTCTTCAGGTGCTCTAAACCTTTCCTGAGATCTACAAAGCTGCAAAGGAAGAGTACAAATTTGGGTTAAAGCCCAACTACACTTATAGCCACTAATCATGAGTATTAACTGAAATCGATCATTGAAAGGTGGAACTAAATCTATTCCAAAATGTCCTTTATTTTAGTAGAATCTTAAAAATGAACATCATAAATTTATCAGCTAAAGTCCTCAGATTCTACTGATAAAGATTTGTGTGTGTGTGTGTGGGGCAAGACGAGTAACAAGAAATTAGGAAAAGGGCATCTCCAAAATCTTACATGTACACAAGTATAATTATACAAATTAGATGCTCATTGCTATTCATACCTGGTATTACTATGACTCTCAATGAGAAACAAGGCAGGCTCAAAGTTCCTGTGGGCTAGGTTGCTGCTCCCTATATGAAAAAAAAGTAGAATACAACACAAGATGAACAGGTATGAAAAGTAGAACAGGCTCGTTCATATACATGCATACATGGTAAGCTGCTGCATTTTGTTGTATATCAATAGAGATTTGCAGTTTGCCCCATCCACTTAAAATCAAATGCTCAAAGTGAACAACATTGGAATATTAACAATTATTTACTCATTTAATAACCAGATAAAAGTACAAACACATCAAATTAAATAAGTTTTATTAGTAATCTACACTTCTTTTTCGAACTACACCTATCAGCGTTTTAACATTAGGATGGATTATCTTATAAAGAGAGGCAAAAGGAATGATTCTGAGTTTAATCTTTAAAGATAAAGTTGAGTTCTGGTCATGCGATTGAATTGTAAAAGAAAAGGTGTGGAATGGATCAGAAAAAGTTGATCATGTGGCATGTAAGTAATGGTGTGTACTGCAAGGTTCTGGAGTCATCGAAATCCTAATAAAGTAACAAGCACAGTACACAGAAAGATGTATATGGGACTACATTAATGGTGTCAAGGCTAGCCTTACCTTGATTTCCTTATCTTTCTATGCTCATTACTCAGCCAGTATACATTTTCTTCCAAAATTGTTTGGCACATGACATTAATTGTAATCTTGAACATTCAGTGTAAGTTTCGTTAGATTCTGTGAGAATTAATTTTCTTTTTTTTACCAGAATTCCAGTTTATCTTTAAAATGTACCTACCTTTTGGAAACATTTGGTGTGCTTCTTCATCAGAGAGTTGCCTGATTAAAATAAATCAAACAAGACAAACATGGATCCTTTTTATACCATAAGCAGATATTCAAGGGAAAATAATTACATACCGGTAAACAAACAAAGAGACATACTGGTACAGAAAAAGAAAATAACAAAATATAATGTCACACTTTTCAAACCTGTACATGAGTATTAACATTTCCAACCATTCTCTCATCTTACATTGATACAGTAAAGTATCATATGAACATGTTCTAAAAAAATATTTTTAGCTTAATAAGTTTACACACATTCAAAACAATTCAGTGCAGAACCACATTTAACAGCACAAGAAAGTTGATAGAGCCAAGAATTACATCAAATCAATGGATATTATTAACTGAATGAGTAAAACATTTATCATACAGCCATCAAACACAGTCACAACGGATTTGCCCTATCAGCACAATCCATATTAAAAAGTGTCTCTGTTATTAAGGCAAATGAGATCTCCATTACACACTTTTCATCCCTCAAAACAATTATCATTAAACAAAACAAATAGTGCTTTTTGTATAAGATTAATCATTCCCTCAATTATCTATGGATTGATGATGTATTGCAGACAGAAAAAAGTGAGAAATGCGTGCTTACGGAGCGTGTTCCATGGGTAGACCAAGAGGATCTTCTCTGCCCGATTGAAGGGGTGACGATGGCCGACTGATGCTGTTCAGTCTCCTGTCAAACAAGGACGATTCATCCACCCAGATGGCCGAGTCTTGAAGGGGATCTAAGGAAGAATGACAAACACATGAAAAAACATTTTTTCAAAATCAATATTGAATCATGAACTTAAAAAAGTCAATAACAATAATAACCACAACAACAATAACAATTATAATGATAATAATAACGATAGTAATAATTATAATTGTAATTATAACTAGAAATATCGCAATCTGTATTGCCGAGCAATGCGAATGTATCCCCAGGCAGTGGCAGCGATTTTTGTGTCATCCTTATGATCAAGGGAGGGACAAAGATCCTCTCTCCCCAGCCAGAAACAAAAGGATGACGTAGAGATCACCACTAGTGGCTCGGAAAGCGGCATCTATGAGGCTGTTCACACCGGCAGAGATAGCGCGCGCTAGACCGCGCTATCTCTGCGGTTTGGAAGGTACAACGTCGTTTTGGTCCGCCCAACAGCGAGCCACGGCGAGCCAAAACGGCTTGCCACAGAGCACCTCTTGGGGGTGGTCCACGAGAGATAGCGCGGTCTAGCGCGCGCTAGAAAAATGGGGGTGCTACGATAGACCGCGCTATCTCATTGCGGTGTGAACAGCCTCTATGTCTCACTTTTGCTTTGCAGGTGAGACAAAAGTCAAGCCAACTACTACTAGGACTTATGATCAACTCAGAACACAAAGCTATAAAATGAGTCATAACTACTCTCTGTGACTTACTTGGCAAGATCTGGAGCCCTCTGAACTTGACGGTTGAAGTGCCGATACCTCCTGACTTGGTTGAGACAATGACATCACCGGGGCCCTTACAGTTGGTTGTTCTACAGATGATTTTACTGGGTGAGATCCACTCGGCTAGGAGCGTAATGTTGACTCCGCAAACAATGATACCTGGAAATCATATGGAACAAATACATGAGGATGAATGAATGAAAATAACAACGTCTCTATAGAGTAGAATTAGATCAGCATGCCTTTACACTTCTACTGATGATCTTACTAGGCAAGATCCATGCAGGCGATGCAGCTACGCAAACTGTTTTGGTACACCTGAAGATAACATAACCTACATGAAAATAACTGACTCAAATTTTTCTTACAAACCAAATATGACATAAGTTTTACAAGTCTTAGTATCATCATTTATTCTAAATAGAATGAACTTATGTGAACAAATAAAGAATTCTGGCACCACTATGAACACAGTACATAAAATTCATATGATTACTATTTGTTTATAATTTTCTTTTTCGGGTTTGGGGAATGTGCTTGGTTGTTTTTTTTTCTTCATTTTTTCCATTTGAGGACACCAGAGATCAAATATTGTAAACTTTCAAATAATACTTTCAAACATAAATGAATCACATCCCTACACTTTTCCAAAATTTGCCAAAATACTAAAAACTCAAACTCACATCTTTGCTAGTAACCAAGCACATCATCAAGTTAATCATTTTCATTCAGTAAAAAGCCATATAATTATTCTGCACTGTAAAGTGTTTAAAAAGAAACCTTTCATCTACAATATATTTCAAAATAAATATTTCTTTCATAAGGCCTAACAAAAAAGATGTTGTATTGCCCTTTGTGACTGACCCCAAAATCTTGAAATCTACTATAGGCTTTTACTGTTTTTTTTAGAAAAAAATGTATTAGAGCATTCAAATCTGAGAAATATCAGCCCAAAGAGAGAGTAAAAAATTAAAAATAAGTTATTTAAACAAAATAAATTCCAGACCGACCGACCCATGTTTTGGCACCTACACTGTAACGGGCAATACAACATCTTTTTTTTAAAGGCCTAATAGAAGACTTTACTCACAGAAGACATCTTTTTCATTGAATCCCAGATTTTCTCCTCTGATGGTGAGTTTTGTTCCTGGCGGGCCCTCCTTGGGGGATAGACCAGTCACCTTGGGAGGGTCACGGAATTTCCTCGACTGCATCCTCACTGCCAACAGTTATCCGGTAAGGGGAAGTAAATGAGAGATTCAAGATCAACTGGTAATGGTATAGTAACAGATATGCATGGGCAAGTCCATGGAAATTGGTGAATTTGTGTTCCACAGGTTGCCAAGAGTAAAGAAATAACCAAAACAATTTAATAACCAAAACAATTTAATAACCAAAACAATCTAATAACCAAAACAATTTACAACAATAGTAATTATAATATCATAATCCATCATTTTGCATCGAATTCAAGCTGCCAACTATAGAAGCAAATATCACAAAAAATAGAATCTTTGATGAAGTTGGTAACATGTGGGATAATATACCCTGGCAAAATTAGCGGAGAAAGGCTTTGGTTACAAAGATTTTTGTTAGTACCGTAGTCATGCTGAAAGAGTTTGGTTCCATACACACTGCACACATCATGGACCAGATGTTTGGAACTCCTTACCAAATTGAATAAGGCATTGTTCATCTCTCTATTCTTTTAAAGCATCTCTTAAAAAAACTCTTATATCGAAGTACATGTATCTACATGTACATAACTGCATGATTTCAACATGCAGTAGGCAATTATCATTGATATCTCAAATTTTGGTCACTGTATAAGTATTGCAACTCATGTTTGCATATTTTGTATTCTTTGTTTCCTTTATTGAAAAGGCTAACAACTGATCGCAATGATAAACAAATGCAATGTAATCAAGGGCCGAGGTCTCCCTTCATTTTGAAAAACGACATAAAATAAAAAAATTGCTGAACATAGCTGAAGACTAGACGGTTGGCCCAATCGGTAAAAGTAGGCTCAATTTATCTGCAAAACCAAGGAAATTTTCATCAACAAAACTTGTGAGTTCCAATCGTTAACTATTTAGGGTCTATCATCATTTATTCATTAAATTGATTATCATATCATTTGAAAGTATCATAGTTCATACAGCAGGTTTTTCAAAATATCGTGAGAATGATCGACACTATGAACATGACTGACAAAGAAAGCGGACAAAATATACAGTTCCTCAGGTATACAAAGGAACATCCCTTCACTGCTATTATGTAAAAATGTGTAGAACAGGTGTCACATGCATATTCACCTTTTTACATAATAGCAGTGAAGGGATGTTCCTTTGTCTACCTGAGGAACTGTATATTTTGTCCGCTTTCTTTGTCTGTCATGTTCATAGTGCGATGCATGTACTGCTGTATGTGATGTGTTGCCCGTCAGTCAGGATAGTGATTAGTGTGTGCAGGAACCTCAATCCTCACGTTCCGTAGGCCAGTGCAGCGTATACAAAAGGTCTACACACCACTTACCAGCTGCAGCTTTGCAGCCGGTTATGCTCAGGTTTAAATGCTTCCTTCGAGAGAATACATACTTAAAACCAATGGTAAATACATCTCTATGCAATAACAGCGCACTTATAGTGAAAATCATTCTAAAATTGCTTACATTTTATACGTTATCTGAGCTCGAATTTGATCCGATGACCGCCTCCCAGATTTCCCGGAAGTAAATAAAGAGGGGGTGCATATTTAGATTAGGGTCAAGTCTTATTGTTTTTCCTTGAACATTACAATGCAAAATCTGTATTATGATTCCACGTCTCAAGATTGGTCATCCTAAGAAAAATATCAATATTTAATATCTATTCGATGTATTTAAATACTGTATTTTTGGGATCTGTTAGAGCAGTGACAAACCTTGAATTATTTTTTTTTAAATCCTTTAATAAGACTAGGTTAAAATAACAGTAATGACAATCATACTAATAATAATATAATCATTATAAAAACACTTTTTCTTATTTTGTGATAACAATTATTTTGTAAGGCGCATCGCCAGCTCATGATTTCATAAATTTAGACCATGTGCGATGCTGGGAGGGGCGGATCCATAATCATAAAAAGGGAGAACACTAACACTGCCCACAATATTTACATTCAAAATGTATAGCCTTTCCCACCCAATCCATGGGGTTGTTGTTTGTTTGTTTTGTTAGATCTCACCTTTTTGTGTGTGTACTCAGCGGCTGTTGGTGATGCCATATTCTGGATTTTTCCAAAATTGAATTTTAAAATCATACAGGTTAAAGCCGATAAAGCATTCTAAAGTTTATACAGTTATAAAGAAAAAGTTATTTCAACCATAAAAGGGTTAGCTCCCGCGTAGAGCATTTTGACAGTCGTTATGGCGAGAAACCAGGCGCGAGTCTACGAGGGGGGGGGGGGGGGGGGGCGACGGGCCCGCCCCGCCCGAACCCCCTCGACCCCCGACCCCCGACCCCCGACCCCCGACCCCCGACCCCCGACCCCCCAAAAAAAATTCTCAGGAATTGGGGAAAAAAAGTGCTCTTACCCCCCCCCCCCCCCCCCCCCCCTCCGCTTATTCACCGGCTGGCTGAGTCGCAGCTAAATATTTTCTCACGGATTGCCCCCCCCCCCTCCCCCTCTTGCCGCCGGGTGGATCCGCCCCTGCGAGAAACCTTCACTGAGCTTCACCAATATTATAAACAACATTGACACTTAATCACAAGGCTATCCGGCCAGCTCAAAGGGAGATTAAGTAACGGTAATGACAATAATCCGTATTGTTATACAAAATGTCTCTGAGCTCATTGGCGGTCATTTCTGTTTCATTCAAGCACGCGTGTGCACCATCTCCACTCTTCATCAAATTATTCAGGGAGTCGTAACCGTGACTCCATGAGGCTGGTAAAATCAATCACAATGACATTGGACTCCATGGAAGAACAGAGCCATTAGGTTAATGGCTCTGAAATGGACTATCCAACCGTTTTATCATTCTATCATTGTTATATAAGTCTTTGATTTTGTTATATTGTATTATTGTTTTTTTATGATGATTTTCGGAAATAAAACAAACAAACAATAAATCTTTCGTTCCCATTTTTTCTCTTGCAAGTTAGTGAAGAACTTGTCAGGGCTCGAACCCATGACCTTGGCATCTTCACTGTTAAGTGACAAAACCACTGGTGTCAAGTTTTTACTCAATCCGATCTATCAATGTCTACATAAATTAAAAACGATTCTGCCAGTCTAATTAAAGGAAGTATAAGTAAAATAAGTAAAAGTGTGGCTTATTATAGGCTTTTATGCATTTTCAAACATTATCAATGAGAAAAAAAATCAATAACACCGAACAAAAAGGGGGAGAAGTTTAATGCGCACCGAGCGAAAAACATGTAAAGATTTATTTTGCATCAGAAGGCAAACTTTATGTATCATTACACTGTAAAAAAGAATTTGTTCATTGGTATCTTTTACGTATTTTTTCCATGTAGAATTTACTTGAAAACATTAGTTTTGCCACTTACGCACTAAATTTAAGTCTTGGTAACTCAAACTTTCAATTTAGTAAAACATACGTGGAATATTTAGGTAAAATCAAATACATAAGAACTTTAAGTAATTTCAGCTTGTATTAATTTAGTAATTTTAACTCAAAATCAGAAATTATACGTATTACTCAAACAATTTATGTTGATTATTCTTATCTTTTTAAAGTAAGGGCCGATGCAGTGCGTAATAGAAATATTTACATAATTTATGAATATTCATTAAGACCAAATTAAACTCTTTTTTAAATAAAACAATTCTTTTTTGTGGTTGAATGAAAATTTAAGGACTTTAAAACATTTACTAATTCATTTAACATGGCTAAGCAAAGACAAGACAATTTTTAATTGTTACCCAGTTCAAAACAAATCAAAACTTGATATTTCAGGAAATTGTCAACCAATTTTTCTTTTAAGATGCTACGATCAAGTATATATAAAATTTGGAGCCCTGTGTGTATTGGGTTTTTACAGACGTGTATCAATCAGATATGATTATTTACGTCTGGGACCGACCTTTAAACGTCACCATCCGAAAGACGTGACTCAGTTTCGAACCTGCGTCCTCGGCTGAATCAGTTTGTAACTTCCACTTTATGGCTGGATTACAGGCGCACGCCACAACGCCCTTCAATATGTGTCGAATGGTGATTAGTGATTAATCTTAAATAGAAGTAGTGAATGATGAGTGGATGTTAATTGTTAGATTAGATGGGTACCGAATCGTGCAATATGTAATCCTATCATAGCTTTTTTTTAATTATCTAAAATGATTACAATACTTAAATTATTTACGTTAATGTAACTCGATTTAACTGAGTAAAAATTTATTCAGCAAAAAAAGTAAATTCTACTTAAGATGCCGTAGGTAATATTTACTTAATAAAAATAAGGCAATTCTTTTCCTCAATTTTATTGAGTTATTTCGACTATTATTTTTTTACAGTGTATATTCCCCCTCACCACCCAGCCTCCCTCCCCCTCCGAAAAATACATATCTTGCTATACGAGTCTAGATGACATAGTATAAAGTGTATTTTGAAGCTTTCAATATTTTTTTCTCTGAACTGTGACCGCGCGGGATTAAGCTATATATCATGGGAGATTAAAATAAGAGTCATGTGGCTTTAGTTTGTTTATATTGATTGAACCACAAAAAATGATTCCATGATGCACTTTCATCCGATTTAGCTATAATGTTTATAATTTTCCCTATTAATGATAATATTCATGATCAAATAATTATTCAAACCCTCTGGAAGCAGTAGCCCTTGGAGTATATAGTTTTTGTCAGGCATCAAGGTACGGTGAGTAATTTTATTATTTCAAAATTATACTTACATGTACTAGGCCTATTTAAAGGATTTTCAAATAAAGACGCTAAAATCTATAAAGGAATTGTAAGTTCTATAATTCTCGAAAATAGAAGTTGATGCACAGTTTAATTGTTGTTGTTCATGTTTTGGTTTTCCTCAAAAATGAGGGTTTTGGTGAGTCAAAATATACAACTTTATATAGAATTAAAATCTTGAATATGTTCTTCCATATTAGTTTGTTTATAAGTAACTATATTCAAAATAATTTTAAAATGTGCTTATAGTGTTACGCTAAGGTTACTCTGCAATAATGGTATATAAGGTACATTTTAATTTGTAAGTGTAAAAAATATGCACAAATTAAATGCATTCAAAATGATTATGTGTTTTTTTTTACTGAACATTGGATACCCTATATAGACGTAAGAGATGAAGAAGGGGCGACTGCATGGGGCTGCACCCCAAATCCCACGTGAAATTTGAAATTATCGATCATATACAATGAGGAGGTGTCTTTGAATTCAATAATGATCTGTGTATAATATTAATGTTGATGATGAACATTTTCTCGCTCGTCTATCTAGCGGGATCGTCTTGCAAAAACTGGAAGGTTGACATTGGGGACGAGATAAACAACCCCCATTGTACCGTGCCCCTTTATACGCATTATAATTATACACAAAAATAAATATTCGTTGACATTATCAATTTTGTATAAAGGGGAGCCACAAATTAACAATAACTTCTAGTGCATCTTCAGAGATGCAAAATTGCACACTATATCGAGTTCAGGTTGCTCATTAGGATAAGCCTCTAAAGAATGAGAATGATATTGCGGATATATTTACTCTTCTTCACTCTTCAGACACTCCAAACAATGATTAGATAAACTTCTCATTAAAAACTACGCAGACGACGAGGAAAACAATGTTCAGGTGGATGCATCAGATGCCCCCATTCTTTCTCTGGGATTTACCACAACCACCACTACCACTACCACTACCACCACCAACAACAACACCGTCACAACCATCAGCACCAGCCACTCCTCTTCTACAACCGCAACCACCACCACCACCACCGCTACCACCTCTTTCCTTCAAGATTGCCCCTGTTCCTGGATCCAATGAAAATGGAGGTGAGAGTATTTTTAAAATATATATTTTTTTAAAACTTTATTTTCAACATTGCCATTTTTGTTATCTATTTGTCAGGGGTGGGTACCGGTTGGGATTGGTAGGTATACGTTGCGGTGAATGGACACAGTTGCCGATCCGGGATCCGTAATTTACCCACTTCGTTTAAGTTCAGTGGAAAAAGCGTCATCATATTGATCGGTCAAATTTTCGAATTTCGGGACCAAAAAAATAAAAACAAAATATGTCCTCTTACCCCCCCCCCCCCCGCTTATTCAGCGGCTGGCTGAGTCGTTGCGAAATTTTTGGCCCGATTTCAAAATGTTGAAACCCCCCCCCCCCGCCCCCCCCCCCCCCCCTGAAAAAATCCTGCGTACGCCACTTGGCTGAGATGTGACCATCTGAATAAAAAGATTTCCTATAGGAGCTCAGTGTTATTTTGCTCTGGTTCGTAATGTTATGAACCAGAGCAAAATAGCACCGAGTTCGTATAGAAAATTTGGACATTATTTTCTGATGCTCTTTCGGAAAATGAAAAGAAAGATTTTTTGATGACGTCACACTTCACCACTCTATAATTGATGATGACAGTGGTGGTGGCGGCGAGGGTGATGATGATGATGAAAATGTTATCAAAGCTGTATAAGATTATTATTGTCCAAATTAAAAAGACAATTGTTATATCTAACAGGATTGGGATTCATCGCTACAGAACAAGAACCGGCCAGCGTCTTCCATCGGATAGAATTCATCATCTCCGTATCCGTGATCTCTGCCGTGCTCATCATCTTGATCGTCGTCGCCGTCATTCTCGCCATCGTGGCACGAAGACGGAAATATGAGGCTGAAAGGCGCGCGAAGAGACTGCAGATGAAGCGAGCTTCGTCCGTTCATCGTTCGTTCCATATGACCTGTCTACACAATGATATGTATAGGTTCAGACCGGATTCTCATGATGAAATAAAATCCAATGCAATTTGAATTTTTAATAAAAATTATGAATAGAAAAGGATGTTTATAATTTATTTCCACTTGTATACAGAATCGTCTTTCGTCCTAATGATACGAATTTCCTTCAGATAAGTTTCCTTCCCAGTTCTAGAACTCATTATTTTTCGACTGCTTTTTTCAACAATCGGTTTCAACAATAATAATTATAACAACATTTTTCGAAAGGCTTTCAGATTAATTGATAGTGCAAGGAATTGACAGTAATAATTATGTTTATCATTGTTGTATTAAATACCATTTCCCACAGTGGAATGGATATCTCATTGCACCTATATACGATATGAAATCAGAGTCCATTAAAGGGAACCCTCCCCTTCTTCCTTTTCTCTCAAAAAGAATTACTGTTTATCATAATCAGACTGGCAGTATTATAGCTATAAACCAGTCATGTATAGTTCCAATTATTTATCAAATTCCCATAACAACATTGGTGCATACAGTAATTTACATGTCAAAGTGTGTATGAGGATGAATAAATGTCATAGTACTTAATTGTTTCTCAGTATTTGTCATTGTAGTTGTAGATGCAAAATGATCTTCTTCATCAGTGAAGTAGCAAAAGTTTAAACTTGTTTCGCTAATCGAGCTATTTTATTTTCGCAAGATTTGTTTAAAGAAGTAAAAAGAAGAAGTGTATTATGAAACCATATTACCCATACATTCCCCATCCCCAATAAAATATAGCATTTTCTGTATGATATGATTTTGATTTTAATTTTGTTTTTATTTTTTTTTATTTTTTAAAGGTGTATTTACTCCCAACATGGGGGAGAGTGCACAAGGGCCGGGGGTCGATGTCTCTTGTCAAAATTATCTAACTACCCTGTTACTAAATCTTGTAAGCGAGCGAAACAAGGAAGACAACAGACTTTGAGTTGACGGATTTTAGCATTACTGACTATAGCTGCCCGAATGAGGAGAGGGTTGCCCGGATCATGTGGTTCTAAATATTTGACTGCCGGGTATCGATGCCCATCGGGCCACTTAGACAGAGATGGGCCTAGAGAGAGAGAGAGAGAGAGGGGGGGGGGAAGGAGAGATAGAGAGAGAGAGCGAGAGAGAGAGAGGGGGAGGGGGAGGGGGGGAGGGGCGGGATAGCACTGCCAGGATCTTTTCAGTTCATGCGTTCAAAGAAAATGCTATTCAGATTTTATGGGATATTTTTTGTTTGTTCTATAGTGCTTGCTGCTTATTAGGCCTTCCCAATATATACAATCCACGTGCGATCGAGCAACAAAAAAACAACAACAATAGAGCGAAAAGGGTTGAGTTTGTTAAAATGCCTGGAGCGGACAAGTAAAATACAAGCCAACCAACCAACTTTAATTTTGTTTTCATATTTGCAATGGTTAATAATAAATAAATAATAGTGATTTAAAGCAAGTAATATTTAGGGGTATAAGACAATGTTTTATGTTTTAATGTATTTATGGATATATAGAACTCTTTCAGGGATTCAATTAGCCTTTGCGGCGGGGTGAGCGCATTCAGTATATTTCACATCTTACCAAGATATCAAGGTATACTATCTTATCAAGTGTTCATTACAAAAATTATTTTAAACATAATATTAAAGAGTGTCACTTTTTTTGCTCGCAAAACTAATTATGAACATAATTACGATGCTCGAACATGCATGGCCAATTACTTGACGAGTGACAGTTAATATTCTTTGATGAATTTAGGATCGGGGTGACGCGAAACTTTTTATTTCTGAAAAGGGTGCCGTGACCGAAGAAAGGTTGAAAATCAATGGCCTGCAACCCCCCCCCCCCCCCCCCTTGGTCTTGCGGTGTTTCTATACCATCGAATCGCATGCATGAGTGCAGCGCATCTGTTGTCCCTATATTTCGGCGCCGCATGATTACGTCATACCGATATGACACAGCAGTACTACTATCTCTCTTTATAAAATGGCTCTAGTATTTTAAGTATCGTGATTGGTCAATACGCGTCACATGACATTGAAAAAATTTTGATGCAAGCACGATTTTGCAGAAATGAGTGCAGAAAAAGCGCAGTAAAAAGTTATATTGCACGGTGCGTACGCGTGACCATGGAGATCCAGTGCGCGCGCGTACGTGTAGTACGCGCTCCCTCGAGTGCATTGCAATTATTGTAGGCTACGCGTAGCTAATATTGTACGCTCCACCATGATCCCCAGCGCAACGTACGCGTAGCTAGCTCTAGCTAGCTAGCTAGAGCGGCCAGCGGGGTATTATTAAAAAGCAAATTTTTATTTTACTTTTGCCTTGGATTTAGGCCTGTTTTGACTTTTGGATTTTATAATGAAGCGAGGAATTTCAGCTGTCTGATGTAGACTCGTCTCTAGACCCACTGTATGGATTTTATTTTTAATCAAGGCAATGAATCCCATTGACTTTTTGGTAAGCCTGCAATTAGGTCTTAGTCTAATTAGAAGTAGAACCAACATAACTCTAGATCTAGATCTAAGTTAGATCGAACTCTCGTAGACTCTAACTTATTAGATCTAAAGTTTCGTTTTTGCTATTTGTGTCGCTATTTTATAAAACAAATAACGCACTTGACCCTGTTGTGCAAAACGTAAATGCAGTAAACGCTCGGTTTCTTCAGATGGTTCGCACTGTCAACTCGCCGCAAGCGGCTCGTTAACAGAGCGGCACCAATCTAAAGAAACCTCGCGCGTACTGCATTCACCGCTATTGCACTCTGGGACGTGCGTTATTTGTATACTATACAGTCAGCGCGACGCCCATCTCTAGGCTACGAGTACGACGAGGTAACAAGCCGTTTGGAATGGTAAGTAAACTACCGTTTTAAGCCATGTCAATAAATGGTGTAGATTACAGTGTCTACATTAATGCTAAGTGTAAATGTAGGTAATTCTGAAATGTGAAATCATTTAGTCTAAATCAAAGAATTTATCGTGCACTCGCACTCGCTTTGCGCACTTGCTTTCTTCCGATTCCATGCAATGCCAATGCAATATTGATCATGCCAGCGCCCATTGGACTTGCCACTTGGTGATTTATGTCTAACTTAATTGGCATGTTTTATTTATTAACTTAGACCAATACCTTACAGTCTCTGATATCAATGGTTGTTTTACTGAGTTTGAGACTATATACATGTACGTCTGGATCCACGATTACATTTCCGTATGTAGATCTAGACCCGGAATGGCAGAAATATCACCATGGATTTGCACAATTTTCAGATCCACCAGGGAGGTGAGACTTTAAATGGAGATTCCGTCTCGAAAGAATTTCCCGAGGGAAAGATATTCAAGATTAACTTGGCTTAACAACAAGTAATGTAACCCTCTTCAGCCATCAAATCCATCAACAGCCGCCCTTATCAGACCACAGATGCCCTCTGGCGATCCAAATGTTACGAAGTGTTACGCAACGCGGCCTGCTTCCCTAAGCTCTCCAAACACTTGGTCGTAAAAAAAAGGCTTTGAAGCCATGCGAGTCACCGAGAAAATGACGTCATACTCATTGAAGATGTATATAGCTATAACAGACAAAAATACAAAATCGACAACTTATGGCACAAGGCAACCTGCTATTGGTTATCAAATGCTTTCGCTGTGCTCGGATAACTCTTCTGAAGACGTAGCCATCTGAACCAGCGAAATCGACCAAGGAAATCGTGAGTTAGAGTGAATGCAAGTTTCTCATCATCATCACGTTCTCTTCTAATTATTGACATTTTCCGAAAGTTTCCGAAATTTTTACATAGCTAGGAAGGTAGTCCATAAGTTTATCTCTTAAAATAACTAAATGAAACTGTGTTGTATAATTGCGCATTTGGTTTAATGAGGGTTAGAAGTTGTCAATTCATCACCACTTTTCACCCCGAGTACGGGCCGGCGACGCGAAAGCCGCCGTGCTCGCTGGGCTGTACATGCTGGATGTTGTTGGTGGAAACACACATAGCTGCATTACTACCCTGGCCGTGTATTGAAAGTTGTGCTATTGATTCTCAACATTTCAAACACCACTGTACAAAACTCAACTGATTTCATTCAAAGGCAGTACTATAGTGACGATTGATGACACCTAAAGAGCATTAAAATACAATTTGTTCAACTTTCTGATGTTAGAAAGAATAATTTAAAAATTAAAATTGTGAGTCTACTGTCAAACTTTCCGATCAACCGCATCGGGATGATTATGTGCATTTGTACTGTATGTTGTGAGTGTATTGACTATTCATGTATTCAAATGCTGCCTATTTACATGGAGCGGCCTACGCATTCACAATGAAACCATTTAACCGTACATTCTGGTTCGCTGCAACGAATAAGATTTTCCGTTGATGGAATTTCACACGTGCATAACTTGTATTGGTCTCCAACTTCCCATACACCAGGCTCAAGAATCAAATCTTCCACAAAATCAGTCAGAAAGTCTAAATCGTCGCCTACCAAATACTCTTCCCTACTGTACGCCGCCATTTTTGTCGATAGCAGCCGATGTGTATTTCCAACAATGCATTTCGCGAGCCCTATGTCACTCAGTTTCGGGAGTGAGATTTACGAGCTGTGCGGTCTGGGTGGGGGATTAACGGGATTATGATAGGGGGAAAAAAGACTCTCGGTCATGGGTGTCGATCCGTAACTGATACCTATTCATCAGGGGGGGATGATCTATTCATTCATCCCCCCCTGATGAATAGGTATTACGTAAGTATCGACACCCATGCTCTCGGTGCAACGGACTGCTTCAAAGGGCCCTCTTAGATGCGGAATCCATTTAACTCACATGCCCTGGATCCACCTTTGAATTATGTTGGACAAAACTGCCAAAAGTGGGCTGCACATGCATGCGGTGTGACTCAGCATTTTTTGATGTAGTGTGTAGAACTTAGATCTCTGTCTTGCGGTCTTCAGTGAATTGTCTCCTATAAGATATAAAGTAGAATTGTTAAAGCTAAAGACCAGTTATGGTCATGCGATTGCATTGTGAAAGAAACGTTGTGGAATGGATCAGAAAAGGTTGATCATCTAGCATATAAGTATTGGTGTGTACTGCAAGGTTCTGGAATCATCAAAATGATAAGAAACTTGGCCCAGTCTTCGTAAAGTTACAAGCACTGTACACAGAAAGATGTATGTGGAACTATACGCACACGTGCGCGACACATGCGTTTATCTCTCACAGACCATCGGATAAACTAATGTACCAAATATATCGATTAGTAGGCGGTTTCCCGGAAAAAAAAATTATCACCATGTAACTATTAGTCAAAACATTCTTTCACATGATTGGTAATAAGAGCTTCCATTTCATTTTTTGAAATTGGGGCGTTTCCAATACTGGTCTTTACCTTTAATGTGAGTCCACAAGCTGCTTTGATGTTTTGAAGCGGTATAATGTTTGTGAATATGTATTTGACAGTTAATTTATACAAAATTGTATGATTGTATACTGCTCTCTGTTTAATATTTTCAGACATTAACTTTTGCTAGCTAGCATTATATCATCGTAGACAGAACAGACATGATTGAATGGAGAATGGTGTCATCAGTCTTCTTGCTACCAATACTCTTAGTTTTGCTAGGTGCAACCCTAAGTCAAGGTAGGTTAATATTTTTATTCTCTAATAATATTTTTTTAGTAATCTTCAAAGGGCTATCATCAGCCTATCAGTTCTCGAAGATGAATAAAGAATAAAGTGAGGCTTAGTGTGGGATAAGAGCATTCAGGAGTAGTCCCTAGAATGGCAGTAAGTTCTCGGGACACTTTAGCATGCACTTCATTAGCTGGACGGCTTTTTAGAAAATGTCAAACTTCATGATCTGCTTGCCAGGGCCCGTATTCAATAAACTAAATTCTTAAGCATGAATGAAATCTCCTTACTTTTTCTTATATTTTGGCTAAGAAAAAAGTCTTACCAAAAATGTGTATCCTATAAAAGCATTGGGGGCTAAGAATTTTGCCTTAAGGGTAAGTAGAATTTTTAGATTTAATCTAAGAAAAGGGGCTTAAAAAATAATAACACAATCATGATATCTAAGATAAGTAAGAAATCTACCATACATTTGTGCTTTTAAAATATTTTTTATCATTATTATTGTTGTTGTTTCTACTTCAAACCCATGGTAGCTTTCTATAAAGAGATAAAATCCTTTAATGAATTGTCATTCTGCTCTTGTTCAAGGTGACTTACGGTTGCAAAATAGTGATTCTTATTCCGGGAGACTGGAGGTCTTGTACAATGGAGAATGGGGAACTGTCTGTGATCTCGACTTTGGAGATGAGGAGGCAAGGGTGAGTTATTTTTATTTCTAAATAAAGATCAAATAGTGTTATTCATTTAAAATTAAAGTAATACATTGTACCTGTTCAATGTTAGTTCTTTATGTATATTTTATTGTTTTTAATATCTTATATTGTTTTTTTAATAAAAGTTACAACATTTTACCTGTTAAATTCTAGTTCTTTATGTATATAATCAAATAATAACGCTCTCAAAGTGATACCTCTGTGCAACTGGACTTTAAGGGATATGTGTACATAATAATCATTAATTCCGAGGCACACTATTTAATTATTACCCCGGCTTTAGCCTAGCTGCCATTACAGCGCTCTAGCATTTCAAGGAATTAATTCCTGCCAGGTACCCATTAACCTCACCTGGGTCGAGTGTGGCAAATGTAAATTAATGCCTTGCAAAAGGACATTACCATATCGGGGATCGAATGTCCTTTGAATTTCAAGTCAACTGCTTAAACCACTTGACTACGACACTTCTACATAAGATATCTTGTTTGGTTTTGAAAAAATATGGATCATGGATTAAAAATACAAATATTTGTTATCCTTAGGTTGCCTGCCGAGAGCTTGGCCTAGACACGACTGAATATCAGACCTTTGATGCTTCCAAATTTGGTGAAGGTAACGGGACAATCTGGTTGGCTGAAGTCAACTGCAATGGATGGGAGTCAACCTTAGACAGCTGTGCCCACAACAGCTATGGTGTACATAGTTGCTCCCACTCTATGGATGTGGGTCTAACCTGTGGCGAATATGTAGAACCAGGTAAGTAGGTTGGAAGTTGCACTAGTTGCATTGCCCAATGACTCTCTATCTATCTATCTATCTAAGTATCTTCTCCCGGTTCGGAGGTTGATTGCAACATCTCTCCATTCACTCTATCTTCTGGAATTCTGGTGCACTCTTGCAGTTTTAGCCCACTCCAGTTCTCTTCCCAGTTGATTCTGGGCCTCCCTCTCGGTCTAGTTCCTTCCACTCTTCCCTCCAATACATCCTTTAAGAGGCTTTGGTGCCTTATAACCAATGACTTGGACCTAACATTTGCTCCTGCAATGAGTGATCCCAGCTTTATATCGTTGAAGGTATAGGGTTAGGGTTGTGCGCGGGTGTTGGCTAGTTTTAGGGATGTGGTTAGGGATAGATTAGGTATAGTGTTTGGGTCCGAGGTTGAAGTTATAGCAATTAGGTTAGTGTACGAAATAGACTTGGAGCAATTGTGGCTGGAGCAAGCGTCATACAATCACATTGCCCATGAGTAGACACCTGTCTTTTCAAGTACCATATTGTGAAATTGGAAAGTCTGAAGGAATCTGGTCATATTTTGTCCACTCAGTTATTGTGTTCCAAGTTTCAGAGAATAGCAAAGATTAACAAATTATGAAAGTTCTAGAAGGGCTATCAAGTATCAATGATATATAAACCATTATTAAAAGTATAAGGACTGAAAGCTTTGGTTTAGTTGGTAAAGTATGCTAACATATTTTTTAATTATTTTTTTCTTCAGAATTAAAACAAGAACACAATTAATGGTTAATTTCTTGAAATTCTTCAGATAAAAGAGTCTTTGAACAACTTTATGATAAACTGGTCTGAAAAACTTGTTTTGCATCAGAAGTTTGAATTTATATATTTGTTCTTTAAAACCTTGCTTGTATTGAAGGTGAACTGCGCTTGGAGAATGGTGACGACAGGTCTGGAAGACTAGAAATCTTTTATAATGGGCAATGGGGAACTGTTTGCAATGACAACTTTGGGGAAGATGAGGCAAGGGTGAGTAATGTGTATATCCAAAATGGAGTCTAATACTTTCCTGGACCTAAACTTTGAAATAGCCTTCCACAAACTATCAGGAGTGTTGATTATCTGTCAATGTTTCAAGTTTCAAGTTTCAAGTTTTATTTCAATTCAAATCCATAAAAACATATAAGATGCAGATTATATACAATATAGAAAACACAGAACACACACAAAATGGAAACATGTCTACAAATATACCGGAATTATACAAAGTTAATCAGCAATAGAAATGAATTGGGGAAACTGCAAATAAAACCACAAGGTTCTGTCGAGGCAGTCCCTGTTATTAAAAGATACATACAAGTTCCAACAATTGGCTATAAAAAATATAACAATAACGAAACTGTACAAAACATAGGAGACGTATTAACATGCAAATATTATTATAGATGTTAACTCTCTATCTGCTTTATTGAAAGAGATGCTGAGAAATGTAGCAAGAATTAATAGATACATTTACAAATACATTTGTAGATGTTCGATTGGCCACTTGATCAAATTAAATAAAGTAAATAAAGTAAAACACAGGAATCTTCAGAGGAAAAGATAACAGGTGCACAGACATGAACATGCAAGGGTATGATAGTAAATATGTCATTCTAAATGTATAAACCCATTGCCATAACAGATAGAATTGAGAGGATTCAGGTGTCAAGGGGTTACCGTTAGATTTACTCTTTATAATTGATTTTTAATTTTTTTTATTTATTTGTTCATTTCATATAACAATTGTTTGCACAATAAAAAATATAGTTGACAAAGTAAGATCAAAATTATGAAATGAAACAGGAACCTACTAGAAAGCATAACTTGTTTTTGTAGGTTCCCAAGAATACATATAACATGAACATTATTATCATAAATCATTTAAAAGTGTCTTAATAATCACAGTAAAATAGATATAACACAATAACATATTTTCGTTACGCATTTAAAAGTTTTTTAAATAATAAAAAAATAAATAAACAAAGAAAAGAATGACAAAACGGGACACAAAGGACAGGAAAATTACATAAAAAGATAAGACAAGACATGACAAACAAGGACAAGGACAGGACAGGACAGGACAAGATAAACAAGACAGGATGGGAGTAAACCAAATAATTTCCACAAGAGGATTAGATATAAATCTAATATAGGAAGATTCCCTATCACATGATGAATTTGAGTGGAGTGAAAACATATTTACTATAAATTACTTTCTAGGTTGCTTGTCAGCAGCTAAACCTGGACTCCTCATCTATCGAGCAATTTGGTAGCTCCAAATATGGTGAAGGTACTGGGATGATCTGGTTGGATGAAGTGAATTGCAATGGAATCGAGTCGACCTTGGATAGCTGTGCACACGATCCCTATGGCTATCATGATTGTTCTCACTCCGAGGATGTCGGTATCTCATGCGGGACAGGTATGTCTAGAGTCAGAGTTTGGAGGAGATTGTTGTTATCTTTCATTTCATGCGCTACAGATAAATTTTGATAGCAAATATAGATTTTGTGGTTCTGTGCTTTTTGTGCAGAAATGATAAGATTTTCCTTCTCATCATTATATTCTAACAATAATTCAAGCCACGATCTTAAGAATATTCAGGCGGAGGCATATTGGAAATGCACTCTCATATGTCTTGTTTCCTCCTTCTTCTTTTTTTTTTTCACTCTATTTTAATTTTTGTTATTTTCAAAACACCCTGCTCCATCTATCCCAGTAGGTGTTACTTTTTCCCCCTCAAAATTGAGAGGTAATTGTCTATGTAGTCTAGGATGTTGATGTCAAAGATCATTTGTTTACTGCTTTATTGATAACTGTATGTAAATTTAAAGGTAATACAAAGTTTTGGTATGGGGTCATGAATTCGGTTCAAGTGAACATATTGGAAGCATATGCGATCCTACAATATTCAGTGATCGTTGTCGAGGTTGAAATCGAGTCTAAAGTTATGAAATTGTAAATAATAAACTCTTTATGTTGTATAGCTCCCTCTCAAGGTCAAGATATCAATTAAGCTATAAAACAATGTTTCTTGACTAAAATCGACCGATCAGCTATTCCCGTTTGGAAATTATATATCACAACTACATATTCTGAGATTTTCATTATCGCAGCTACAGTTGTACGGCTGTAGGCGCTATTTGAAATTCATCAAAAATTTACCTTGAGCACCGGTAAATTTGTTTATTTAATTTTTCTCGAAAGCAGAAGTGTTATAGGGGCTAAATTTTCTAGTGCTTATAATACATCCACAGGGGCATCCACATATATCGAAATTGTAAAGAATCACTTTTCATAATTTCCTGAATCTTTGTATTACCTTTAACCTTATCTGTGATATTTGTATATATTTATATGCTTTCTAGAAGGAAACTCTGAGTCTGGCAATCCGTTCTTGGGTGGTATTGGACGATGGATGGGCAGTATCGTGTTCGTCTGTGTTGCAAGTGTAGTTTGTGGTGCCTCCATGTACAGACGGAGACAACTTTACTTGATGCGTCAACAACAGGGTAATAATGGCACCAACATGGTCCATGTCCCCCCACCCAGCAACAACCCAGGAGCCACGCCTTTTCCTACGCAACCACCACCACAGCAATCGGGTGAACCCCGACCATATCCAGTCCAGACGTATTCACCCGCTTACCCGCCCGCATCAACGGGAGGTGCTCCACCGGCAAACCCATACCCTGTGCAGGCTTACCCACCTCCTGGGCAGTATCCGACCCAGCTTCCTCCCGTTGAAGGATCCGGACCCTACCCTCCACAGGGAGACGCTGCACCATACCCAACCCCACAACCTGAGGAGACACCCCCAGCGTACCAGCTGCAGGGCAGTAACATGCCTGAAGGAGACCTTCCCCCTCCACCAAGCTACAATGATATCGTCAAGCAGTAGCATTCAGATTGTTCTCATTGTCTCTCGTGAAGCCATGTAAACTCTTTCTCGTGAGTTTTTGTATCTTATTTTCTTCAGGGACAGAAATATCATTCCTCTATGGAGATGAACCAAAGATCATTCTTGATATAGGATATAGAACAGTTTGTAGTTAGCTTTAGTACAAAGGACACCCAAACGTCCACCGACCTTTCACATATGGAGACGTCCCACTTTATGCATTGTAGAATAATCACTGCCAAAGTGACGGAGGTGCTTCATGAATACCTTTCATTTGCCTTCTTGAGAAGAAATACTTCCACCTGTGTATCAGAGAATTTACCATCGGTGATTATATGAATAGTGATTACATAACTTTCATGAGCGCCTATCCAGTATTCGTCTCGATGGGTTTTACAATTTTGGTACAAATGACCTTTATCTGCCCATATATAGATGGTATTCTACGCACTGGTTTATTGTGTGATGAAAGCCAGAAGAGGTTAACCCTCTGTTATATGATATTGGTTGATCCCCTCTAGCTGTGCCTGTTGACCAAAGCCTACCTGTATTCACACATTGAGGCTGAATAACTCATTCATTACATTTTATTTTATAAAACAAATGTACTTTTACAGTATTATACAAAGTAAATTTTATATCGTGTAATTGTTATGTCACTATAGCAAATCAACAAATTGCTCATTACCGTCCTTGGTCAATTCTTATTCATAAAATTCCTTGAGATAGGATGTTAAATTATGTCAAGAATACTATTCAGAGTTGGGAATTAATGAGACATAAAAATAGACAACAGAAGCATTGAATTGACAGAGATAAAGTTATTAAGATATGTATATTATGGAGAGAGGGGTGCAAGCTGTAAAAGAGGAAGCATTTGCCTAAAACTTTGAGTAATTGATTTGTGCCAAGTTGTGTGTTCGAGATAAATAATGCCTTTCTATTTCATATTTTACCACCATTTCACAGTACTTCATAATCAATCTTATGAATGCCATTTGCTTTAATCACGTTGTGTGATGAATGATCATCATTTATTATTAATCAAAACTTACCAACCAAAAATGTTAACAGTCATGAAGAATATTGTTGATTTTGTTGTCAGTATAGGCACTGCTTGTCTTTGTAGAAGAATTTGAAGTCAAGTTGTGTACTTTGGCTTTCAAGCAAATGTAGTTCTAGAAACTTGGGTCAATTAATTTCTGAACCCCTTTGAAATACTTCTTCTGCCATGGTAAAAAAATGAATGCCTGACATGTGACATATGACGATAGTCAAGAAAACTATGATTTAAATTTGGTTAGGGGAAAATATCAGAGTAGAATAAAAATTGTATTATCAACCACATGATAACAACAAACCCAAAGCTATACAATTTGCCAATGTATGTAGTTGTGTATTAAGCTTACTACTTTACTTCATGATATTCTCAATGGCATTCTAGGTATAATATTTCTGCAGTCACCCTTTTTCAGTATGAAGAGTATGACACATGTTCAGGTACTTTCCAATCATTACATATTTATGCAAGTTTTGCTTGTAGTAAACTTCAGGGCAGTCTCAATTTTATCATGGAAGATTGCGCTTAATATGTGCTCGGACATATCCAAAGAGCAGTGAGTATTTAACTGCTTTGATTTCTCATTTTAGGGCTATTCCAAGTTATTTTAGTATCAGAAATCGTGCCTTATAGGCTTTCTACTTTAAAACATTAAGTTAGATCATTTTCCTTTTATTGGGGGAAGAGGTATGTGCAACAAGTTGTGATGACGTACTATTTGATATGGTCTATTTATATATATAGATGGATGTTTGAAAGTACTTAAACAATTTATTTTTAGTACCATACATGTATATTTGCTGAAGAGTTCTTATTTGTATATATCGGACTAAAGTATATTTATCAAATTACAAGTTTTTCACTTAAACTTCATGAGGCTAATATGTTTGAACAGAATTGTTATATTGCACTTGGAATACAGGTGTATATAACAAATTATCATGCTCTCTGATTTGAAAGAGGGATAAAAAAAAACTCAAAAAGAATTCAGTAACTTATATTCACATTTGCGGCTGAAAAGTTCTTATTTGTATTATATGGAACTAAAGAGATGCACTGTCATGTAATTTCATGAAATATGAAACTAATGTATTTTGGAATCGTATTGTAATACTGCAATTTAGACACAAGAAGTTGTTATGCCTGTTTTTTAGCATTATTGTTTTAGTTTGATTGTAATGCACAAATTAATTCTTTGTTTATTTTTTGTTTTTTGTTTTAGTGTTTTTATTCAAAAGAAAAACTTATACAATGTACATATTAGGGAAGGGATAAATACATATATATCTAAGAAAAAGTGCATCATAAAATTTATCTCCATAATAGCAACTGATCTACAGTGTACTACTAAATATGAATGAACAAACAAAACTAAATTCTTTGTTTATTTTGATGTGACCTCTTACATGTGTGACCATTGGATATTATGGGTATTTTAAACGTAAACATATATTTCAGGTGTAAGCAATAAACAGAAGATACATATATTTGTATATTATAACAATAATATTTTTGAGACGGCTCTTTTGTTGAGGCGGTATAT